TTCTGTGTGTATTCCAAAACACTGCTGCTTCTTGGAGGTCTTTCCTCAACAGATCCATAAAACAAAATCTCAAACATTCTATTTGTAAACTGTTGCCAACAGTAAAGTGACCCTCCTCAGTAAGATCTTCAAAAAGGTTAATCCAATATGTTGAACGATTTCTTCTGAGAAAAGACCACCACTGCTCAATCCGTTGATTGCTGGGAGATGTTCCATATCTATGACCGTGTGAGCTGTTTGTCAAGGAACACTGAACTGGGGCCAACAATGAATTTTCGGTGCCACAATCTGTCCTCACAACCTTAGGGCATATCATACCCATTTGTCTCACTGTGTCTAAAAAATATTTACAAATCACAGAACTCTTGTGGTTTGTGTGGTTACATTCTAACCACATAATTCTCCTCGAAAAACCATCGATGCACCCATTAATTTCAAAACCATATATTTTCAGTTTATCATAGCCGTCTACGTGCCAACAGTGGTTTGGCCCTTGACTGATGTAGGTTCTTCTTTGTAAGCGCCTCAAGCGTCGGTTTTCTACACTAATTGGGTCAATCTGAAGCAATAATAATCTCACTGTTTCTTGAGTAACTCTAAAATGGTATTTCCTAATCAGCCTTTGCCACATTGATCTATATCCTCCAAGTCTACCTAGCAATTAAATAAAAACCATGTTAGACCAATTTTTGTAAATTGTTAAAATTCATCATTAATATAAAGAATCAAACATACCTTAATCTCACTGTGCATGTAAAAGATCTGTAAGTTTTATGACAGAGACCATGGTAAAAAAATTAAATATATAATGAGCAGCTAAATGTGATGCAATAAAAAAAAACTTGCCCCAAAATATTGTGGGTCTAGTTAAAAGAGCTCAACAACCACAATATTGACTAAATATATATAGCACCCCTCCCCCACAAAAAAATATGTACATATATGATAGTGATATATATGATATATGCGCAATAGCACAACAAATTAACGATCATTTATACAAATGAGGTCTAATTAAGATACCTGTTCCTTCCAATTCTCTTCTTATAGCTTGATATACTAAGCGAAGAGATGTCTGGCTTTCAAAACCTCGCCTTGATAACCCATAAGACCTGATAAAGATACACAGTTTTAAACTTGCACAAAATTTAATCTTGCCAAATACTATTCATTAACTCATATGACTGCTAAAATAAAATTTTTGATTGTAAAATTTTAGTTGATGAAATCAAAAACAATGAAAATGAAAAACAATTCACTGATTTGGGCTGCACGCTAAAATGCAAGTATAACATATTTTATCATTTTGTCCCAGACACCAACTTACTTATATTTTGAAAACGACAAAAAACAAATTTAAATATGATACCACTGTCTATCTAAAATGTACATTATAATCTGCCTTTCAGCTAATTCCTTACTGTTTCAGGTATGCAAATTACAGACTTTAGAAAAAACTGTCACAAGTACAAAGGAGTAGGTTTGTTTTAAGTATTGTCCCATTACTCGTACTTCATGTGGAAATATTTGCCTCTTTATGAGGTTTGTGGATGAAAAAGGAAAAGTTTGTAACGATTACTGGCCACATGGTCATTTAATTATCAAAGTTCTTGTTCATCTTTAATATTGGACATGTACCTGATCCGCCGTTTAAGGGTCCTTAGGCTCAAATGAATCCCATGATATAACCCAAGAAAAATAACAATAGCTTTGTACTGGAAACCTTGGCTGAAGTAAGCTTCAATTGCTTCTTGTTCAGATCTAAAATTAAATGAAAACTTATGAGCATTGAGTATATTCCTTCAAGCACTTTAAATCTTAATTAGCTGTACATGTAAAAGAATTATTGCTCACAAAGTTTACACCAAATTTACAACACATGGTACAAAGGAAAATATCCAATGTTGTATAAGTAAGATAAGTGTACTAGTACATTTTGTGTTTAAGATCATGCTGCACAAGCTGATCAGTGCTAGGCGCTGTCTAGTATTGGTGTCTACATAGCAGGTGGCCATTTGTGCATACTGACCTAAACTCGGTGAGTGGCAATGATGGTAATCCATTTGACCCTTGGAAACATTGCCACAGTAATGTCAATATCAAGAGAACCATGGCATGTACCCTCTTGTTATCTAAAATATAAAACTTAAAAATGTTGGACATTTCAAAATAAAATTTGCATCATACATTCTAGCAATAAATGCTAATTATAAGCACAGTACTCTATAAACTTGATTTTAATACATTTGATACTGCTAACAATAATTCAAATAAAAATTCAGTGCAGCAAGACATTACTTTAGTTATACTAAACCAATTTCTCATGATTTTAGACAATGCTATGTCAAATAATTACTAATGTAACACATAACTATTTTTAGTTAATAACTTTGTACATTTTTGAAAAAAAAATAACATAGAAATTTTCCATAGCATTGTTAATTATAACAAGGACAGTTCAAACCATGTGACATTCTCAGAACAAAGACTTGACCGATTTTCAATCTTTTTGATAAAAAATATACCTCTAAAACCAAACTAGAAAAGAAAATATACTTACCTTGGTTGCTTGGAATGGTTGTCTATCTGTCGCTTGTAGAGATTCACTTTGATGGTCTGTTGCAAATTGAAAATAGACGGATTTTCTTTTGGAGGGTTGGAATTGCCTCTCCTCTTTAATTTGTAACTTTGACAATTGATTGATTATTCTTTAATGACTACGGAAGTGGGTCAAGTTTGAGTGGTCATCTAGTGCAGGCATGATGAGGTATACATGATACTCAGGTTTCTTTAAAGTGCTCTTTGTTTGGTGTTGCTGTTGTGAGTTTTGTTTTTGGTGTTGGTGTTGTGAGTTTTGTGTTGCTGTTGTGAGTTTTGTTTTTGGTGTTGGTGTTGTGAGTTTTGTGTTGCTGTTGTGAGTTTTGTTTTTGGTGTTGGTGTTGTGAGTTTTGTGTTGCTGTTGTGAGTTTTGTTTTTGGTGTTGGTGTTGTGAGTTTTGTGTTGCTGTTGTGAGTTTTGTTTTTGGTGTTGGTGTTGTGGCCCTTACACACTTCCATAGCTTTAGCTGTTTTATATAATATCATTATTTTCTTCTTCGGGGGAAAAACAATAATTAAGCCTACAGTTTTAGTATATCACAAGTGAACTGTGGGTTACAAGCACTTCATATATCAATAAATGGAAGTACATTTGTTAAAATCAGATGAAGCAAAAGGCAGTTTACAATTTAATGGCAATAGTTTAAAGCCTCACATATAGGTACCTTTATTGCTGACCTACAGGGTACACAACATTATTGTGGCCTTTCCTTATCACCTTAAACATGGATGCATTTAGCAGTCTAAAGCATCTCATAAATCAAAGGGGGATTCTCTCTACAACATCTCTGATCCAAATGTTTTCCGCAAGTTTTCTTGCACAAAGAAAAGAAATAATGCATTTCACAAATGGGTACTTCAACTGTGGCATGACTCTCTTGAGAATAGTTCCATTCAATTTCTGATATGTTACCCTTCGTAAATATATGTATAGAAAATGTTTATCACCTTAAATTATCCATTTCACTTGCATGAGTACCTGCATTAACTCCTACCATAGAACTATCTGATTTCACAAGGGCAAATTTATGACACTGTCCAACCTGCACTGATGATATCAAATAGCTGTCTATTTCACACACCACCTCACAGACTTCAACAATGAATTGTACCTGAGGCTAACCCACCAGAAAGCAATCTTTATCGCTGACATTTTTACTGCAAATGCTTTATTCCCTGACTTGATGTAGGTCTGACATGTGTTTCAACTGAATATTGATAACACTTAACTAAAATAGGTTGAACCAGCTGGAAGACTAGTTTTGAGATCAACTATGTAAGTTGGCCCAGATGGAGATGAACTAAATACATAAAGGTGACAGCAATCTATATTCAACCAAGCTGACAACTGTTGCTGGAAAAATATATTTAATTCTAGTGAAAAAGGGGAATTAGTAACACAAGTACTACAACTCATAATTCTTTTTTATATTGAAAATATATATAATTTGTTTTAAAACATTCTGCAATATCTGCTATGTAAATTTCTTTTTCTATTGGGTATAGTAATAGGTTTTATGAAATTCTATAAAAAGCCCTTGCCTCTATTCAAAACCTCCTTCAGTGCCTCAGGGGACAATCAACAGATAATCTAACTCTCACATCTCTAACAGTAACAATTTTGCACAGGTACATGTGGGCCTTTGCCAAGTAACATGCTTTTTGGAGTTCTGTTCCTAACAGTTATTTACAATACCAATAAAAAAAAAAAAAAAAAAAAAAAAAAAAAAAAACAGCATGCTTTGCCATAGACTATCTCTACACTGAATCTTTTTAGTTTTGAAATATCTCTTCACTGAATTTTCTTAGTTTTGTAATAGTTCTACATCATGAGCTTACACATATCAAATTGAATGTACTTGTGGTAGTACACGTAGCGTCAGAAAAGCTAAGTTCGACAAAAATAAAACTTCATTTTTTTCCAAATGTAGAGTATAAAATACACGTGTAGATGTGTACTAGTATGGAGAAAAAAATCTAGGAGACCTGGAGTATGAAAAAAATCGGAAATACAGAAAATCTATCCTACTCACTTATTTCTCTTAAAATACATACGTAGATAGACTGCAGTCTTGGCAATAAAATTAATATTCTCTAAACCAATTCCAAGTTTCAATCAGTGGGTACTGTAATATCACTCAACCTGTGCAAGTTGAGCTGTGGCTGTGCGTACGCGACCGTCGCAACCATGATAAGGTATGATGATCGTGAATGCAAATTAAACTAAAAAAAATAAATATTTCAAAGTACCTCATATTACCTTTTCTGGTCTTGTTTCCTTTGCTAAAGACTATCTGCTCTCTTCCAGACTGATAAAGCAGGTAAGTTTGCCACCAGCTCCTGAACTTTCAACTTCCAAATTCCCCCACATGTGAAATACGTCATCGCTTTTGTAAGCACACAATGTGATGACGTAGCGCGCGGCCATGTGCAAAATTTTACCGAAAAGAGAAGAATGGCAGAGATGGAAGTCCAAACTGTAAGTGAAATTTACCGTCTCTTTGAGGTCCGATTTGACATATTTTGTATCGAAAGGGTCAGATTACCTAGATGAGCGTATGTAAGCAAAAAACTGTAGCATTGTTAACGTACTTTTCTTGAAATTGTGATTTTCATGAAATTGGATATCGAGCATGCTGCCATTGCTTTGTGAATGTTGCTGGTACCCAATTAAAACCAAGCGTTTTGTATCATTGTTGGCATTTTTACTATATCGGTATCAATTTCTGACGGGAAGGTTAAAATTTAACACCATAGAAGAAAAAGATCACACAACGCCACTTTTTTTAAAAATTGATTACTCTATGAATAGCCATATTACTAATTCTTCCCATTCACCAACAGAGCTGCTTTAATTGCGGCTTTGAACAATGGAAAGATATAACTTAGTCACGTAATTTATGAAATGATCTGTATTTTGTGGTTGACTAATTTGATTGAGGGTGTCATTTTAAGTTTTTTCACGTACGTTAAGTACGTGACCACTGTCTGAATGCTACCTCCAGTTTCATCTTTTACCCTGTAATGCAATAAGTACTGTCATGTTCACTACAGAATGTTTGGCCCCAAAAAGCATGCATAAGTTACGCATCCTTTTTGTGTTCCTGTTTTATATTTTCCCGAAGTTGGGAAGTTAATTTGAAAAAAGCTTCATTGTTATTATTTTCATTTATGAAGGTATAATAATTGTTTTCGTATAATTTCAATATACTTGTTCTCTCAGCCTACCCCTTCAAGCACAAGTGGAGCTAGAGATGTTAAGATAGAGGAGATGACATCTAAGGACTACTACTTTGACAGCTATGCTCACTTTGGTATACATGAGGTAATATTTGATTCTTTGTTTCTATAGTTCATTGGATAACACTCATTGTCTGAATTGCATGATGTAGTACTATTCTTGATTTAACTTAATGTGTTTTTTATTCACGTAAGTTTTTACAAGTTTTTGTACATGTGACCTTAAGAATATTATAACATGATTGTTTTGAAGTCCATATTTAATGATTTAACTTGATAAATGATTTATTTGGGACCCCAAAAAGATGATTCAACCATTTTTTATAAATTTTCAGGAAATGTTAAAAGATGAGGTTCGCACACTGACATACAGGAATTCCATCTACCACAACAAGCACCTGTTTAAAGGCAAGGTTGTGCTAGATGTGGGCTGTGGTACAGGCATTCTCTGCATGTTTGCTGCTAAAGCTGGGGCAAAGAAAGTCATTGGGGTAAGTGTTAGATACAGGCAGTTTATTTGATTATCACAAATTTCCCATTTAAATAAACATTTAACTGGCAGTTTAGTTGAAGAAAATTGGATTTGTTAAGCAATAATCTAAGTAATAATAAATGGCAGCAAAGATTAAGATTTTAACGTATATTTTGTTTTTAGATCGAATGTTCAAGCATTGTGGATCATGCAAGAAGAATTGTTGAAGCAAATCATTTTGATGATGGTAAGCAGGTGTATCTGTGGTGCCTGTTTATATCCTTACTATAAGTAGTAAAGAGCATTTGACAATAAAATCATGTTCCCCGGAATGAAATTTCCAAGATTCTTTTTTTAAAATGTTTTTATTGAGCTTCAGGTGATATACTAACAGTGGTGGTTGTGGAGAAACAAATTGTGTTTACAAGTTCAACTTTGGTCATTTCATGCTCCATTTCCTGTTTTTAGCAAAATTTAATCATAATCTATGATTGCTCTCAAATTTTTATCATTTGCTCTACAGGCAATATACATTTGGTTAAGTGTATTGACATTCCTTTTCAATATTTTAATTAAAATAATCTTTACGTTATGTGTTGCTATAGTGCACGCTGTATCGTTTCTTTCTTTTTTTTTTTCCCCCACTGTCAGTGTGCACAGCCTGGCCATTCCATAATGTCATATTCACAACTGTCATATCACTGTTATTGTCTTTCTAGTGATTACCTTAGTCAAGGGTAAAGTTGAAGAGGTTCAGCTGCCAGAAGGGATTGAAAAAGTGGACATAATCATCAGTGAGTGGATGGGGTACTGTCTCTTCTATGAATCCATGTTGAATACAGTCCTGTTTGCCAGAGACAAATGGCTGGTAAGCATTTGGTTTGTGTAAACTTTTCTGTTTTGGATAATTTTTGTCTACAATTTGATCTACTTTGACTTCTTTTTTCTTGCTAGGAAAGCAATGTAACATTACCTGTGATTGTTCAGATCAATCATCTTCATTATTTTTTTTCAGTGATTCAGAAATAGATTTTGACCATTATTTAAAGGAAATTATGTTTTCAATTCATAGGGCAAATATTGTTATCAATATTTGCCCTCAGAAACACATATTGTTGATACAAAATACTTGTATTTACGGTACACTCTGCTTGATATCAAATTTCAACTTTTCTGCCTGATGTTAATCTATCAGGAATCATTTTTGGAACCAAAAATTACCCCATTAACTTTTAATTAACAGGCCTAAATGAGAAAGGACTGCTTGATGAAAGATCAAAATCAGTCTCTTTTGAGAAATAAGAAAATGTACTGAAAACTTCCTATGTATTCCTATCGTATAGTTGTCAACCCGTTCATATATAACATGATGACCTGTGTCTATGTTCCAGGCTCCAGGAGGTCTCATATTCCCAGACAGGGCTACATTGTACATATGTGCCATTGAAGACAGACAGTACAAGGATGAGAAAATCAACTGTAAGTTTGGAAAAATGATTTAACTTGGCAGTGTACAAAATGGTATTGGAATTTTACAACATAGGTATACTCATTCATATGACTTTATAAATAGTAAGAAAGAAGGGATATTTATTTTGATGAATAAACTTTTTTGTTTTTGTTTTTTTTTTTTGTTTGGAAGAAAGCTTTTTTATTTGTAAGTTTCATTCAGTTTTCATCCATTTTTAGGGTGGGACAGTGTGTATGGCTTTGATATGAGCTGTATTCGCAAAGTTGCCATTACTGAACCTTTAGTGGATGTTGTGGATCCCAAACAAGTGGTCACCAATTCTTGCTTAGTTAAGGTAATAATTGCAGCCTGCCCATGATTGGTCACTTGGGGATCTCACTGGGCCACCAGCAGCAAATCAATACCTATTTCTGGGAGCATATCCCATGATACACTGGGCTTACCCATAATTCTGATTTGCGCTTGTGATTATAATTCAGGGTGGGAGACAGTGTATGGGTTTGACATGAGCTGCATCAAGGAGGTCGCCATAAGGGAACCCATTGTTGACAAAGTCAATGGGCGGCTGGTGGTAACAAATTCATGCCTTATAAAGGTATGTGGTGATAAAGAACATGGGGCAAGGTGATGTCTTCTACTTCGTCTTACTAAATATTTTTTAGAACAGAAATTTGGACATTGTGGTGTTTTATAGTTTTTCAAAAAATCAAAAAAAATGCCTCTCACCATGATGAATTATTTCAACAAGTACACAAGCATAAATGGGAAGAGGGGATTTTTAAAAAATGTTTCCTTCTAAACCAAATGTAATCCCTGTGCCTACCTCCCCCCCCTTCCTTCCATACCCCTGAAAATTGAATGATAGAATGATTGTACACCAACATTTCTATGGAATCCAAATACAAAAGAGACTCCACGTTTCCTGGGCACTTTGGGACTAAGTGAAATTGGACAATATTCATAAGCTTGAGCTAGTATCAACGAAAAATTCTTTCCATAAGATTTGTTCCTGATAAACATTGGTTCAAGTGACAAGTCGGAAAACTATTGTACATCTTTTATTCCAAATGGAAAGAAAATTTGATGACTTGTATCAGTCTTTTCATTGTACATTGTCTGTACTTTTAGGAAGTAGACATATACACTGTCCAGCCTGAAGATCTGACGTTCCAAGCTCCCTTCCATCTCCAATGCAAGAGAAATGACTACATCCAAGCTTTTGTCACTTTCTTCAACATCGAGTTCACAAAGTGTCACAAGAGAACAGGGTTTTCCACAGGTAATCCCACATCTTTTAAACTTGATTTAGGGGAAATGTTGTTCAGATTATGATTAACAGCTTTTTTTAAACTTGAACCACAGACCCATTTTACAAAAAAAAAAATAATAATAATAATAAATAAATAAATTTCAGTGCTATAAATTTTTAAGGGGACTTCATTGTGTTTTAAAATCAAACCCTTAATAGAGAAAGTTGATTGTTTTTAATCTTATTTGGACACAATTTGTCGATTTCAGTATGTTAACTTAATTTATTGTATTAAACACTTGCTTCAATACTGCAAAGTACTTTTTGTTGATAACAGCCTGTTATTTTATTTGAAAGACTGATTATAGTTTAAATAGTTTAATATAATGCTGTAAAAAAAATCATAATTTTCAGCCCCTGAGGCCCGTTACACTCACTGGAAGCAGACTGTGTTCTATTTTGATGATTACATGACTGTGAAGAAGGGAGAGGAGATTATGGGCACTTTCTGTGTCACACCCAACAAAGACAATCATGTAATTATTATGGAAAACTAATGATTTATTGCAAAATGACTTTATTGGGGGGGTGGGGTGGGGGAACGTGGATTAAGCCTCTAACACAGTGAGATTAATACATAAGCTACAGTCACTTTTGTGACTCAGATCTTTAATTAAGTAAAATATTACCTGATGACCTTGACCATTAAAACACCTCAGACTACAGCTTGTTATCTCATATTGTGCAAGGTTCCATTCACAAGTGTGGAGAAGAAATGTTCACTGTGTTCCTTTTTATTTTTCAGCGTGATCTGGACTTCACAATTGATGTTGATTTTAAAGGGGAACTTTCAGAGATGTCAGATACCATACACTACAAAATGAGGTGAAGAAGTGCAGCAGACGACACCAGCTGCTTTGATATTAGCGCATAAATTTCATAACAGCATAAACTGTTTGGTTGCAATGCATTTTTAAAGAAATGTAGTAACAAAACTCAACATCATTTACCACTATTAGGTGATCAAACAGCATGAATATGATGAATAGATATTTGACATGGAAGCTTGGTACTTCACTCTATATTTTCTGTATAATCTATATCAGAATGGGAATTTTGTGTAAACTTATTGTTATGTGGGGACCTAATGTTGGTCACAAAACATGGGTTGTTACAACATTTATATGATCAATGGCATGAACTTGGTTTATAGAAATATCTTTTGGAAGCTTAGTTCTTCACTTAACAGCATCTTCAGATCAAAATTAAATTTTTTCATGGATTTACTCCAATGTGAGAACCTACCAGTTGTTCATCTTTTTATATTGTGTTCATCAGATACTGCAAAAGGTGAACAACTTGAGACCTGATGACTGTAATCATGTTTACAATGAGTCAGTCTGCCACAGATGTTTTTTCCTGCTTAAGGATATTAATTTGAGGTATTGATCAGAATTTTTTTCACATATGGGATTTCAGGAAAAAAATAAGCATGACAAAGAGAATTGGAATCTTAATGTTCTTCTAAGCATTTTATTCAATTTTAAATGAGTTAAAACAAGGAGAAATAATTGGAAAATCATTAATTTTTCTAAACATCTGGGAGACAAGCAGCTGAATTCAAGTCAAGAACCTCTTGAAGTCTAGAACCTAACTTGTGCTCTTCAAGGTGTCCAAAGCCCATTTTTGATTGTGATTTTTTTGTCTGCCAGTGCCTTTTGCTGATAGTCTGTCATTCCAAAGATGAATAGTTGGCAACACTGAATTAGTAACCAACTCATTTTAGAATTTTAAACAATGCAAAATGTTGAAACATCAATTTAAAGGGACTTTGAACACATGTTACATTCTGTGCTTAGGATCAAGATAAACCATAAAGCATTCAACTGAAGCAAACAGATATAGAACTATGACCTCCCCCCTCTAATTACAAAGACTAAACAGCTTCAGCATTGAAATTTTAATGTATGTTCCAGTAAGATCATTCTTGCTTACAGCTGAAAAATTTTTTTGTAAGGAAAACAAGTTGCAGAGATAAGTGTTTTATGCTTATAACTTGATGGGGGTTGAAAAGAGAATGAATATGTATATTCCACAAGGGTCAACATGTACAGAATGTTTGTATATGATATTATTCAAATAAAAAAATGCACTTTCAAATCATGGTTTGTATTATAAAATTAAATGTTATGTGATGCTACTTAAATAAACATTTCAGTCTATCATTTTATTTATATACAGACACATTTTCTGGACATGAAACCATTTCCTGTGTCTGTGAATGCAGTTGGGTGCATGATGCTGTGAACTCCTGGATATTTTGCCAGTAGACATAATAAAAACCTACTGTCAATATTATTGGAATATTGAAACTAATATTTTGATGGAATATTTATTTTGCTGTAAATCATTATGACATATTGCATCAAAATATTAGTTTATTTGCCCTTTATGTCTGCCCATTGAATGGCTTTGATGCCTTCTCAACTGGAATTATATGCTTCATTTAGCAGAAATTCTAATAGTTTTACTCTGTATAAAAGTATATTTACAATATAGATATATAAAAGAAGCTTATGAATCATGTTTTTGGCTTGATGAAATAGAAATATGGATAGTGATTCCAGTGTGTGTCTGCAAGTAGGTAGGCAATCTGATGCGAGAAATTATTTTCAAATTATCATAGAATACAATCTCATATTTAGGAATTCTCTCAATATTGCTTTTCTAAGGTTTGCAAAGTAACTGTCGTTAACTATAATATTTGAAACCATTCTAACATGGCCAGCATTCTTAATTTTAAGCACTTGCATTACATTTAGCAGTATCACTGATGCAAATCTATTCAACTTCCTACATTTTGTAGATTTCTAATGCCAGGAAACAAACTGTATCTGGAGTAAATATGAATGTTTTCACACTTTTCCTTATCCTTTCTATGACTGGTCATCTGTTACTGGTCATCTATGGCTTTGATTAAGCAGCATGCAAAAATCATGCCCAGGAGCTGCAAAAAGATCAACAAACTTCTTTAAAAGATGCAGTTATTTTATATAAGTAAAATTATATGAACACAAGGTTTATACCAAAAATCCAAAATATTGTTTCAGTGTCACCCACTGAGCAGATCTGAAAATGCTGAGGTAATTTGTAACAAAAATTTCAACATGAAACAGATAGAAGAGCAGCAGTTAGGTAAATGATATTAAGTGTTGGATGGGTAACAGCAGGAATCATTGGATATTATTATTATTATTATCATTTTTTATTTACGTATTTTTTTTTTTTTTTTTGGGGGGGGGGAGTCAAAAATACTTATGTTTACATTTACAAGGTTGTTTGTTACCTCTATAAAGGCAGTTGCTATTCCCAAAGCCCCTAATATAATCAAGTTCTCTTTGGCCCAATCCAGTAGTTGGGGTTTACATCCCTGCAATACATAAAGACTATTATGCATATTTACTTACCGCAAATTATTGTCCTCTATGCAGCGGGGATAAGGAATGAAATGATGACAAAATATATTGATTTTATCGTAATTATTTGTTGTTAAAGCTTTCTTACTAAGACTGATAATGTATTAAATATTTTGTGAAGTTTAAATACTGAAGAAATTTTTATACCTTTGAGTAAATGCCACTTGGGTCAGTTGTGTCGTTGTAGTTTATATTAAGATTACACAAACTGGGGCATGATTTGTTAACAGCTCGTTCACAACATGACCAGGGTACTCTAGAGTCATTCCACTGCTGCCAGTCTCTCCAGTTTTCTGATCCGCAGCATTTCATCTGGGAGAGAAAACACTACAAACTGTCACAACAAACACAATATAAAAATGTTTGGCACATCAATATGTATATTTGCACATTGTATACACGGACATGGCAAACAAATTCTGAAACCTTGCAAGATGTTACAAAAAATGCACACATATCTTATAATCTAATAACCTGGCATCCCATTAAATATATATATATCAGACATATATACTAATATCACTGGAGACCATACATTGTTAGAAAATAAAAAAATAGAAATATTCAAATTTGTACTTAGATAAAGAACTAATAAAAAGAAAATCCAAAAAAAATATTACCTCAGATTGTAAAGCATCCACTGCTTTATTCAAAACCTCGAATGAGTTTTTTCCATACCTTTCACTGATGGTCACATTGATTTGCTTTTCAATCTCCGCATTAACCTATTAAACGGATAAATCCAGACAAAATTGTTAAGTTGGTTTATGAGAAGTGTAAACAGCAAGTGATGTCAGATGAAATTACATTTGTTTTCACTATTTGATCATATTTATTAAAATGAGTATAGCAGCTTATAGCAGTCAAATAAAACAGCATTTTGTTTTTCTATTTAACTATTTATTTAGTTTTATGTTTTTTTTTTGGAGGGAGGGTTTACAGCATAAAAACAACATGATCAAGTTCTTATAGTCAGTTGTGAACTTATTCCACTTTCTTAGCCAATACACATTACATGTTTTTTCCACTTGAAAAAAATTAGTGTAAAAAATCCAATTCTCAAAGTTAGTCTATTTTTAATTTAAAAATTAATTAAAGGATTTTTCTTACTAAATTGGCTGTTTACCTTGTACTCGATATCTTTGAAATGTGTTACATGTGAAAAATAAATGTCTACACAGACTTGTACAGTAGATGCTAAAAGCTTCACAACCCATACCTTATGCCATCTCATTCACATTTAGTTTGTAAAATTCAAGATTTGAAAGATAAATGACAGGTTGAAAAACACCATTCCTACCGTTTCAAAGAAAACAAATGCCAGGATTGCGGCAACAACTTCAATTGCAAAGATCAAGAATAACAAGCCAAAGTACTGCAAAAGAAAACCTCAGCTATTATTTTCTTAGTTATGAGATACAAAGCATAACAGTGTTCTGGCTAATGAAAATGCCAAGTAAATAAAATTTTGTTAGTCATTTTAACAGCATACATGACAAATGATACTTATTCTCTTGGAAAAGAAAAGACATTAGACAATGAATAAATAAAATTGCTCATTAGAGGAAGAACTTGCCAAATATAATGATTAAATCTAACATATATCAATTCAAAAATTTCTGAAAGAAATTTGAATTTATGGAATGTTCTGTGGTGTCATAAAGTTAGGAGTTGGACATTGTGCTTACTGTCCAGAGCAGGCATTTGCTTTCTTTGACAGCCCCACAGCAGCCAGAGAATCCCACAAAAAACACCAGTGCCCCTGCTCCTATCAACACATAGGCACTAATCTGGTACAAACTACTCCCTAGCAGAAGCTCGAATTGATTTTTATCAACACGGATCCATATTCCAACTCCAAGAACTGCAGCACCAGCAAGCTGAATGTAAATGGATACATTAAAACCAGTTTTATTTATCAGATGAGGAAAGGAGAGTATTCACTGAAAATGACATAGAATAAAAAAATAGAAAGAAAGTGTTACAAGGAAAAAAAAAGAGAGAAGATAATAAATGACACTAAAATGTACATACATTGTGTTTGTGATGACATTGTATTGGGTGTGCACCAGTCAAGTAATTGAATGTTGATACACAAAATTGACAAAAATAAGTGTATTATTCATTACTACAAAAACAACTTTTTAAAATTTCAACCTCCAGACCTCTAGTTAGGATGAGTCTCAGACTTGTGATTGTCTGAAATTCTCTCAGATTAAAAAATCCCAAATTAGTACATCCCAGAAATCTCAACCGGGTTTATTTCTTTAAGTGAAATCAAATTTGAAAATACTTACCCAAAAGATTATATTAAATATAAAAAGTAAGTATTTAATACACTTCAGACCGCAGGTATCCACCATCTTGACTTTTGTGCAGCTTTAGGGTGTGGGTCGTATATTCAAAACTCACTTGTAATCTACAAGATAACAGTTTCCATGGTTTCATAGCAACACTCTCAATTAGGATGTTGATAATGTGGCCAAATCAATTTATCAAACAATTTTTATGCAATATTTCACAATTTCAGATCAACAAGGAAGTCAATATATACCAATAAATAAAACTTGTTGCATTTGAACATCAAATCTATGCAGTCGACCAATATCGGCTGTGTAAATTTTAAATTGCTACCCATAGGTTCCTCTTGATATGTTATGAAAATATTCTCTTAAGTATTCCCTCAACTTCTGCATGATATTAAAAGATAACAACTGTTCGAATGAGATTCATATTTTACAATAAATACAATGTAAACAACTCGTATAAATAAAATAAATTTTATTTTACAACCAAAACAACCAACAGTAATCGCAATTATTCTGTAATCTGTGCTGTCCATAAGACCATGTGGACCTTCATATATCTTCATAGATTCTAAGAAATTATTACAAATAACCCAACATTTTAGAAAAAATAAACATGGACTTCCATTGAATGCCTGAATTGTTAAGTATGGGAAAATCATCATTTACCTCAGATGTTTTTTGACTGAAACAAACAGTGTTGTTATCCTCTTAAAGTACAAAGTTAATCTAAATTGAAAGAGGATACATGTTGTAGGTGTTATTTTAAATTACATGAATTGATCCAATTAAACTAAAATTGCCATAGACATAAGTTATGTACAGCCTAAATACTGAAAATTTATAATAGCAATAAAGTGTTTTGGAATTTCAAAAATGCTGACAAATGCTGTTTAATTTCTATGGGAAATTCAATTTGTTTTGTAAACATTCACAATATAAAAGCATGTTCTTTAGGAGAATATTTTTTTCTGTTTTAATGAACAGTTAGCAAGACTTACCTTAGTTGGTAAAATCTAATATCTAATACTGATTTTCCAAGCAACAGTTATAAAATTCTAAGAAATTGCTTTTCTGTGTGTGTTCAGTCAAGACTACACCAGAGGCTATATATATGTCACACTGATATTTCCTATTACTTACAGGCAAGAGGCTAAACCAGTTGTATTAACCCCTTCCTCAGTAATACACTACAATCAAATTCACTTCATTCACATAAGAAATAGTCTAGACTGCTTATAATGACAGCATTCACTTTGGTAGATCCAGGAAAAAGACCAGTTTGGGTCAATTAGAATTGTCAATGAATATTAATATTCAAGAACCAGGCAAATCACATACATAAGTTGAAGGTTGAGAATCAGTGTTTCTGATAATTAATTAAGTAAATGTTTATGAAAACTTCTACTCGTTATGTGAGATGTAAAGTATTAACCCCTTCCTCAATGTGAGATGTAAAGTACCTGTCATCCTATGTAATTTTGTTATAAAAATGCAGCGTTTTGCTACATTCATAGCCTGGAAAGTAGATGTGTAACATATCAATAGAAAGGAGTGGAGGGATAGGGGACATTGTGGTCATATCTCTAACTTGCTGTAGTCGGTGTGAAGAGAATAAAATTCCTTTCACAGGAAAAAGATAGTTGTTGATAACTATATTGTGGCATGTAATTGCCATCCATAAAACGTACACCCTAGATGTCACAGTTAAAGCATTTGGAATAGTAGTGATTCTGCTGGTAATATAATACAGTATCGAACTTGACTAAAAGCACATTTTGTGTTCCGTCATTGAGGCTATTAAGAAAAGAAGATCTGAGGATTTACAGATCCACGAGTCAAATATGGCAGACCCGGCCTACATGAAAGAGGATCGAGCTGACTAATCCCCTGATGGCCTCCCTGCCTCAACACGCCCCATTAAACGGATTCAATCATGGCTCCAAGGTTTAATTGCTAGACCCCTGCAAGGACGGCACGTGTGGGAGCGGGAAGACCATCAGCAGTTAATTGGCTCTTTTTACATGTAGGGTCTACCATATTTGATCTGTGGATCAGAAGATCATCTGATTTTCTGTTCTAAAAGAGGCCATAGACACATGAGAAAAAGTAACAAATAATCAATACTTTCAAAGGACTGATCAGTAGGACCTACATATAACTCGAGTACAATCAACCAGCCTGACGGATTTTGTGTGTAAATTTTTCATTCTTCATAAATTGGTGATTTCAGGACTGACTGAATTTCCAAAGTCAGCAGTAACAGTATGTAGTTATTGTACAGAATTAAAATTGGTAGTGATTTTGCTGTAAATAATTGTAACATATTGCATCAAAATACTAGTTTTGCCCTTTATCCCTGCCCATTGCATAGCTTTGATGCATTCTCAACTGGAATTATATGCTTTATTCACCAAGTATACTTAGTCTAACAATTTTACACTTTATAAAAACTTATTTACAATATAGATATAAAAAGGAAGCTTATGAATTATGTTTTGGCTTGATGAATTGGAAATATGGATATTGATTCTAGTGTGTAACTGCAAGTACATAAGCAATCTGACATGAAAAATTATTTTATAATTAGCACAGAATATAATCATATATCTGGGAATTCTCTCAGTATTGCTTTATGAGGTCTGCAAAGTAACTGTCAATAACTGTATAATATTTGAAACCATTTAAACATGGCCAGCATTCTTAATTTTAAACACACGCATTACATATAGCAGTATCACTGATGCAAATCTATTCAACTTCCTACAATTTGAAGATTTTTAATGCAAGGAAACAAACTGAATCTGGAGTAATTGTGAATGTTTTCAAGCTTAATAAAATGTGTTTGGTCCCAGATAATTTATATTTTGTGATCTAAGAGACTTGTTATTTTCCTTTCTATGACTGGTTATCTGCTCTGGTCATCTATGGCTTTGATTAAGCAGCATGCAAAGATCATGCCCAGGAGCTGCAAAAAGATAAAAAAACTTCTTTAAAAGATGCTGTTATTTTAAGCTCAAGGTAAGTGAAATTAGATGAACACAAGGTTTATACCAATAATTCAAATTGTTGCTTCAGTATCACCCAAAAGGCAAAGATGAAAATGCTGAGATAATTTGAAACAGATATATCAACACGAAAACAGATACAAGAGCAGCAGTATGATGGCGTCATGATATCAAGTGTTGGGCAGGTAAAATAAAAAAAGCTAACAGCAGGAATCAGTATAGAATATTATTTAGGTCAAAAAGGCTTGTGTTTACATTGAAAAAGGTTGTTCATTACCTCTATAAAGGCAGTTCCCATTCCCAGAGCCCCCAATATAATCAAGTTCTTTTGGGCCCAATCATGTAGCTTGCTTTTACATCCCTGCAATACATACAAGACTATTATGCATCTTTACTTACCACTAATTTTTCACCTCTTTGCAGTGGGAAAAGGAATGAAATGATGACAAAATTTATTGACTTTATGTAACTTGTTGTTAAAGTTTTGTTACTTAGACTAATAATATATTAACTATTTTGTGAGGTTTAAATACTGTAGAAATTGTTATACCTCTTTGTTAATGTCCCCTGGATCAGTTTTATTGCTGTAGTTTATATTACTTGAACTGGGGCATGATTCTTTATATTCTTCTTTACAACATGACCCGGGTACTCTAGAGTCATTCCACCGCTGCCAGTCTCTCCAGTTTTCTGATCCGCAACAATTCATCTGGGAGAAAAAGCAATACACATTGTTAGAACTAACTCAATATCACACCTGTCATCACATCAAGATATATATATATATATTTGCACATTGTATACACTGACATGGTAAACAAATTCTGATATATCTTGCAAGATGTTACACAAAATATGCACATAACATACTTGTAATCTAATAACCTCGCTTCCCATTAACTAACAGATGTAGACTGATATCACTGGGGGCCCATTAATTGTTAGTAAGAAAATAAAAAAAAAATTCAACTGTGTACTTAGATAAAGAAGTAAGAAGAAAAAACAAAGCAATAATTACCACACATATCTTATAATTTAATAACCTGGCATCCCGTTAAATATATATCAGATACAGACTAATATCCCTGGTGCCCAAAAATTGTTAGAAAATTTTTAAAAAAATAGAAATATTCCAACTTGTACTTAGATAAAGATATATCAGAAGAAAAAACAAACCAATCATTACCTCAGATTGTAAAGTATCCACTGCTATATTCAAACCCTTGAACGAGTTTTTTCCATACCTTTCACTGATTGTCACATTGATTTGCTTTTCAATCTCTGCATTAACCTATTAACGGATCGAGCCAAATAAAATTGTTAAGTTGGTTAATGAGAAGTGTAAACAGCAAGGGATGTCAAATGAAATTACATTTGTTTTTTATTTTTGATCATATGATGTATTAAAATGAGCATAGCAGCTGATAGCAGTCAAATAAAGCAGTCTTTTATTTTTCTATTTCATTAGTTATTTACTTTTATGTTTCTTTATGGAGGGAGGGTTTAAATAATAAAAACAACATAATTAAGTGTTTCCTGTAGTCATTTGTGAAATTATTCCACTTTCTTAACCAATATCCATTGCATTTTTTCCACTTGAAAAAGATTAAGTGTGAAAAATCCAATTCTCAAAGTTAGTGTCAGTCGTTCCCCAAAACATTGATTTTGTCTGGCATAAAAAGTACATTTATAATCAAGATGTGGTTATGCTGAGGGTATGGCAACAGATTAGCTGTGCAGTCAACATAAATGTAGTGTTTTTAAAGATTTTTTACTAAATTGGCTGTTTACATTGCACTGGATATCTTTGAAATGTGTTACATATGAAAAAGATGTCTAGAAAGGCCTGTATAGTAGTTGCTAAAAGCTTCACAAGTATAAGTCAGATTTGAAAGATAAATGACAGGTTGAAAAACATGAATCCTACCGTATCAAAGAAAACAAATGCCAGGATAGCTGCAGCAACTTCAATTGCAAAGATCAAGAATAACAAGCCAAAGTACTGCAAAAGAAAACCTCAGCTATAATTAATTTTCTTTTTTATGAGATACAAAACATTACAGTGTTCTGGCTAAAGAAAATGCACTTGGAATAAATAATTGTTAGTCATTTCAATGGTATACATGACAAATGATATTTAATCTCTTTGAAAAAAAAGACCTTTGACAATGAACATCAGAAATAAAATTGAATTGTTCATTAGAGGAAGAACTTGCCAACTATAATAAATAAATCTCACATATATTGATCCAAAAGTTTCTGAAAAAATTAATTTTTTTATTTATTGAATATTCTGTAGGTGGTGTCATAAAATATGGAGTTGGACGATGTACCAATTAAGGAGTTATAACTCCTTGGATGTACTCACTGTCCAGAGCAGGCATTTGCTTTCTCTGACAGCCCCACAGCAGCCAGAGAATCCCACAAGAAACACCAGTGCCCCTGCTCCTATCAACACATAGGCACTAATCTGGTACAAACTACTGCCTAGCAGGGGCTCAAATCGATTTTCAGCAACACGCATCCATATTCCAACTCCAAGAACTGCAGCGCCAGCTAGCTGAATGTAAATGGATACATTTAAACAATGAGATTTTTTAAACAACTTTATTTATAAAATGGGCAAAGAAGATTATTTACTAAAAATGACATAGAATAAGAAATAGAAAGAAAGTGTTACAAGGGGAAAAGAAAAAAAATAAATGCCACTAAATTGTACATGCATTGTGTTTGTGATGACATTGTTGTGCATCTTGACTGCATGTGCACTAGTCAAGTAATTGAAAGCTGATACACAAAATGGACAAAAATAAGTGTATTCTTCATTACATACAGAAACAACTTTTAAAAAATTCAACCTCCAGACCTCTAGCTAGGATGAGCCTCAGACTGGTAATTGTCTCAAAATTCCCTCAGATCAAAAAATTAGTACATCCCAGAAATCTAAACCAGGTTTATTTCTTTAAGTAAAATCAAATATGAAAATACTTACCCAAAAGATTATATTAAATATAAAAAGTAAGTATTTAACACACTTCAGACCACAGGTATCCACCATCTTGACCTTTGTGCAATATTTGGGTGTGTGTTGTATATTCGGAACTCACTTGTAATCTGCAAGATAACACAGTTTCCATGGCTTCATAGCAACACTCTCAATTAGGATGCTGATAATGTTGCTAAATCAATTTATCAAACAATTTTTATGCAATATTTCACAAATTCAGATCAACAAGGAAGTCAATATCCAAACTTGTTGCATTTAAACATCAAATATGCAAGCGACCAATATCATATGTGTAAAATTCAAATGGCTACCCATAGGTTCCTCTTAATATGTTATGATTCATGAAAATATTCTCTTGAATATTTTCCTTAAAAAATGTTGTCAAATGTTGTCTTCTATGGGAAATTCAATTTGTTTTGTAAACATGCAGAGCATAAAAGCATGTTTTTTCAGAGATTATTATAATTATTATTATTATTTTGTAATAATGAACAGTTAGCAGGACTTACCTTAGTTGGTAAAATCTAATATCAAATATTTTCCAAGCAACAGCTATAAAATCCCCAGAAATTGCTTTTCTATGTGTGTGTTCAGTCAAGACTACACCAGAGGCTATATGGTACACTGATATTTCCTATTACTGACAGGCAAGAGTTTACACCTGTTGTATTAACCCCTTCCTCTACAATGCACTACAATCAAGTTCTCTTAATTCACATAAGAAATAGTCTGCTTATTATGACAGCATTCACTGAGTTAATTATTTATTAAAATGCTAAATTTTCTGCAGTTTAGTAGCTGCCATTGAATTATCTGAGAATGAAAGTTTGGTTCTATTTTCAGTGGGAGGCAGCATGGAGAATGGCACAGTTACCGAGATAAGTTGATCAAATATACCTTTAGCATGTCTGATCTAAATATTTTGAATGTCGGCCGTGATAAGATAAAATCCTGGCAGAAAATAGAAAGTTGGCATCAACACAGACACACTTTTCTCTCATACATGAAATACATTTAAACACTTTAAAACACACCAGAAGTATTGAACAGACATATACATAAATAAATTTAGTATTAATCAGTTTTTAAAGTTAAGTATGTGGAGGGATAGTGATCAGTCAATGTATTCATCTTACAAAATGTAATAAAGCAGCACTAAGAAGAAAGAAAGCAGTCAGATGAAGCAGTTACAAAATTATCTAAAATATGAACTGGTTTAAACTCATTAACTGCAGGAAGCAGTTACATTAATTATGAATCATACAAAAATTCAAACAAATAACTGTGTAGATTTTATTTTCTATACAATACTGAGTTATCTTTATTCTAATCAAATAATTCACTCCATTAAAGCCACTTCTGATTCTAGTCAGAAAATTTCTAACAGTGATAATTATAATACATCCAAATTGTAACAGGTACACTTGAAGAGGGAAAGGGAATTTTTTGTCAATAATACACAGAATCAAAAAGCTGATTATCTAAGCATAACAAATGAATAATTTCATGATGATAAAATGGAAATACATTTACGACATAATACTGTTCTTTATAATTATAATATCTGTTAAAATCTTCTGAAATACTGACTTGGCCTTGAGAAGAAGCACATATACTAACAGTATATTCAATGTGGGACTAAACATTGGGTTCTTTTTGTCTTAAATTTTCTTTCATCTTTTAGGATATCCAGTGTTTATATCTAAAGATATATTACATTGTTTTAAGAAAATGAAATTTTAAAATATCACTGCCAAAAATTACTTTTTTTATTGAGGTGAAAATTTCAGGTCTGCATGTACCTATTTTCTTGGCCTGACCCAAATGAGGAAAAATGAGTTTGTGTTGTACATGCAATAAATGAAATTACTAATGGTCTTTTAAGTACCAAGATTCTTGAGGACCACAAGAATACATTAATCATCAATATATATATATATATATATATATATATATATATATATATATATATATATATATATATATATATATATATATTTTTTATTTTTTTGCTAAATAATTATCATATACAGACTCTTTAAAAATGGATCCAATACTGAATATCTTCAATCAATAGGCTATTTCTAACACTACCTTGATTACGGGTAATAAAAAACTTAAATCTGTTCCATTCTTGAAGATAAGTGATAGAAGTACAATACATCAATGGCATGTAAAACCAAATATAAAACCTCTTCAGCCCATATGTATGTGTAAAATACATCCATTCACATAAGTACAATTAGTTAATGCTGGCAAGTTACAAAAAATACTGTGAAACTTATTGCTGCAAGAGCATAGAATTTATTTTAATACATAAACATAAAAAATACTAACCCAAATACAGATCAAAATGTTTCTTATATTATCTTTACTTTAAAAAATTCCAACTCAATGATGGCTTTTTTTTTTGCTTAGATCTACAAACATGCAGCTACCTTTAAAATCATGGAAGAACAATGGTTTTCCAACTAGGTTGACAATCAAAATATCGACAAATTAATGGCCCTTTTCATGTAGTGTGGTACAGTTCTTTGTTTTGTACCATATGCTGACTAGTCCAAACATGTAATCTACAGGGGATTTTACTCTTTCACAAGTTTGCTCCCAACAGTTTGGACAAATCAAAAATTAATCTGTTTAACTGACCATGTTAAAAGTGGGTGCTTCATTTAGATGATACTCTTATGAAACAGCCAGGCTATCTAGTTGTCAGTCTCTCATAATAGTGCGAAACAGAAAAGTGTACATGCAACATGATGAAAAAAAGATCCATATTTAACTTTGTTTGCTTTGCACAAAGTAATCAGTCTTGAAGGGAATTTTGAATTTACATGGCATATTTCTCTTCCTTCCCTCCACTGCGACATGCCAGGCAAAGGGAAAGGACCATACCCAATATCTGTAACAAAGTAAAAAAAATGAAATTTGTTTAGAAATGTACTTCACTTTCTAAATAAGTGTCTATTAATCTTAACCAACTTGAATGATAAACCAGTCTTGAAAAATTTCAACAATGCCCCCCCCTCCCCCATACCTCAACACAATGAATTGTACACAAGACAATTTTACAAAGATTCAAATGTTATTGAAAATATCATCTTACCAAAATTGTCACAGTTCCAATAGCTAAACCAAATAATGGCCACCGTTGCTGTGAGATTTGTGCCTCAAACTTGTGAACACCCTCTTCAAAGCAACCCTGGATTTAGAATATATTCTAATTCAAAAGGGGCTGTATTGTTGTATAAGAGAGATATATCATGCCTCAGACAATATGAAAGATGGCTCAACTTGTGGCTCATACATAAAACGGTAAAACTTCAAAAATAGTCTGATTTAGATGTTATTTATTGGTAAAAGGTACAATCGTGTATTAAACTCTCATCTATAAATGAAAAAATCAGCACTAAGAAACTCACTGCTTATCCAATTTAAAAAACAACACCATATATTAGTATTGAATCTGTCTACATTGATGATTCAAGTGGTCAACATATTTAACCAATATATACCTTTTTATGAATATACTGGTCAGTCTTAGTTGCTTCCACTTTCTGGCACTCAGCCAAGTTTAAGATCTGTCCATCACTTCCCTCTACACAGCAGCTATCAGGTACAGCCACTGAAATCATAAAATTAAATATGAAACAAAAAGAATGGAGAAGCAAATTCATGTATGCTAGATAATTCATTGATTTTTTTGTATGTTTAACAGTGATGAAAAAAATTTAAGTTAAACTTTATTTAATGGAATCTGAAATGAATTTAATCAAGTTACACCTGAACTATTAATGCTGTACATGCAGACAAAAACATTTGTGAACTACTTATTTATCTTGATGATCCTGTCAGACTTACCTTTGGTTCCATTCTGCCTGGCAAACCATGCAGTTTTCTGGTAGTCCAGCCAAGCTTCATCCCCAGACAAACCACAGCAGCCAACCTAAATCAAAAACATACATTTAGTCTTTAATACAACAATAATGTTATTAAATTAATGAAACTTACATGAAAAAAATTTTCAGCCTAGAGATACATATAACAGATATCCCAATCTCCTTTTTTTTTTGTTTGAGTTTATTCATTGATTATTGGCTGATATTTTTTCCTAAAACTGTTGTAAAACTTCTGCTTAATAATGTCATGCCTTATTTACTCCTGAACCCTTTGTTTGCTCACAGGATCCCAAGTTTAACACACTTTCACACTTGCATAACAGAAAGTTTGCAACGGCCTGAAATTACATGTCACATCTGACAATACTGCAATATCACTGGCACACCTAACACAACACCCAATGGAGGCACATCTAACACACTTCATACCTCTTCTTGCAATGCATCCCATATATCAGTAGTGGTCTTGCTCACACCATAGCTGGTGTACAAAGTTGCATTCATTTCTTTCTTCAGCTTTGCTTTGATCTACAAATGTCAGAAACTGATTAAATGCAAAAGAATACCAATATACAATGCAGGATCTGTCATGGTAATTTATAATTTATTGAATTAACTTATAAAACTATGAAAAGTCCTAACATGATTCAAAAAGTGTAATAAACAGCAACCATGTTCTAACACAGATAAAAAAAATCATCCAGCACTGAATACCTTGATTACTGTTAACATAACAACCATAACAATCTAGTGTTGAAAAACAAAAGAAAATACACTGTACTCTAAATATTTGCACTGTCAATCTAGTGGGGGGAAAGGGGGAGGCAGAAAAAGGGCACAAAGGGTATATTTCCAACATTTAGTTCCTCAAAATGCTCACACTTATATTGCAAGGTAATTATTTCACCTCTGCCCCCCCCCCCCCCCCCAAGAAAAAAAATATAGATATGCTGGTGCTTAATGTCCGATACTTACATCATCTTGGAAGAGAACTGACATCACTGCCCCTCCTATTAAACCAGCAAATATCAAAAGGCAGAACAAGAAGTACTGGAAAAAACCAAATGTCAGGACTTAAGGGTAATGGTATAATAACATATCAAAATTAATGATAAAATTCATTGCATCAAAATTGTGCATGTGTGTGTGTGTGTGTGTGTGTGTGTGTGTGTGTGTATGTGAGAGAGAGAGAGAGAGAGGTGTGAGAAAACACTAAGGCTGTCAGATAATCCGGCTTAAATGTCCATCTCGCCTACTACAAGCTGTAAGGGGGTAATTAACTTTCGTGTCCGCCCGGCTGACAGCTATTTAGCGTCAACCCCCAGGGAGTTAGGTCGATCTAAAGTAGATCGATCTAATCTCTGGAAATGGGGTCTAAGAGAACACATATCAGAAAAAAACTCACCATCACCAGCATGCACTTGCTCAGGGCCACTGCTCCCCAGCAGCCAAAGAAGGCCACTATAGCTATGAAGCCTCCAAGACCAATAAGAAGATAGCCAGCATACTGGAGAAAATCTTCATTGGGGATAAAAGAAGTGACCAATGTTGGGTCAACTATCAACCATATTCCCAGACCGCTCAATCCCAGACCAGCAATCTGAAGAATTAAGTAATCAAAAGTACCATCTGAATTTATTCAGTGTTTGTGAAAAAGGAGGAATATATTATTTATTTGTTCCTTTATATACAAAACCTGTTAGTGGACCAAATCTTTTTATAATAATAATTTTTTTCATTGTCATCTTTTGTAAATGTGATTAACATGGATATTTTTAGGAAACCTATTTCATTTGACTGCAATGGGCTACAGCTTGCAAGCATTATCATCCCAAAAAGTTCAATAACAGAAAAATGTTTTTGAAACTTTTACATAAAATTTATAGAGCAAAAATTAATGCACCAGTGGAAATGTTCAGCTTGTATGGCAAAAATTACATTTTCCCCAACCCCACTCTTAAGAAATAAAAAGACTTGGTTTTGTCAAATACATTTAAACAGGTACTGTTAAACATAGCATGCATGCAATGATGGTTAATGTATCTTAAGGCAGTGCCTGGAGAAATATACAATGAACAATAGTACAAAGACATTCTAGAACTTACCAGAAATATAAAATTAAACAAGAACATGCAATACTTCATGCATGACATGCAACCTTCAGTGGCCATCTTTTCCTTTTTCTTAAATATATCCAAATGGGGATTCTGAAAAACAATGGTGTGGAGATATTTTTCCAAAGAAAGTGGCCAAATGGCAAAATTACTTGAAAACACTAACTAATAATGAAACATTGGCCATTTCAACATCACTTGGGGGTAAATGGAGACCACAAATGTTGTAGTGATGAACAAAGACGCACAGGTAATATAATGAGCATATTTCTTTCCTTTTCAAATCAACATAGGAAATCACTTTAAACCTTAACCTTGCATAAAAATGTATTTTTAAACAACCCTAGACCACAACTCACAGCAAGTTGCCTTTACAACCAGCAAAGGGGACTTTTTCATGAAAAGAAAGCATGTTTTATGCATGATTAGCAAAAAGAGAACTAAGATATACAAAGTTTAAAACATTTTTTAAAATGTTTTAATAAATAAAACTTATTAAGTTGTAAAAGATAGAAATTTTAGTCACAGATTTATAATGGCATTAGACAGAATTTATTTGTATTTAACCCTAAATAAATTTATTGATCTAGAAAATACACTGTTATATATGTAGGGCCCACAAAGGATTAAACAAAAAAAAAAGTGAAATTGACAGATATCATAGAAAAAGCACCAAAATCAGTTCGCCAAAATCCGTTTTATGGAGCATTTTGCTCCATGTGTCTTTAAATGTGGACTACTACTTTAATTCAGTGCATCTGTGAGGCAGGTCATTATAGAAAGATTAAGTTCAGGTGAGACTGTACTGTGCCTCTTTGAATATGGTATACAACATTTCCACAAAAGCAATTCATGCTGTATAATACTGGACTTAAATATTAAACAGTAACTTGACTTTTAAAGAAACCCATGAAAAGATTAATCCAAACAAGTATTACATACAGAACAGCTGTCCAGTTTATATGAATCATTGCTACATGAGAAATGAAAGAGATTGGAGGTTTTTTTTTTTAATTCTATCAATTTAAGCCTTGGTAATATCATACATAAAGACCTACGTACATTAATGACATCCGAGTGCCCAAGACATCAGTACTTAATCATCAGTAATAATAGATTCCTCATGTATCTAAAAAGTTTCTATGGGGGAAAATACTCCTGCTGCCTGTAACTTTTGCCAGTCTTATGTTCAACACAATCTTTAACTAAAAATAAATGTGCCAGAAAAACGGCAGACAATATTGACCATCGTCATCATCACTACAACATAGGAATAATTACAATCTATTGGATTGATTAGTTGTGGCATATGAAATGTCATGGGAGCAATAATGTCAGATTAACAACATGTTTCCAAACTCATTGGTCTGTTTAGACTAATTAAGATAAAAAAAACTCCACGCTGTCTTTAAGGGACTGTCCAAACTTTAACTATGACAGGAAATTTAAGATCCAAAACAGGAGGGTAATCCTAGATGGAACCCTGCAGGCCAAAGCTTAATCCACACTAGGTTTGAAAGAAATCTGTCAAATGACATTTTGATAGTACATTCTTTTGCAACCATGCAGCAAGCACTTACATACCACTGTATGTTTCTGCACAGGTGATCATATAGATTTTATACTTACTTAAGCAACAGCATACCAATCAAAGACTACTGACCAAATTCATTTTAGTTCATCACTGTGACCAACAATTATATTCATGTGCAGACAGTGTAATATAACACCTTCCTTAACCTGTAGCCAAAAGTTAAAAGCAGGTAGATCTATATAAATAATGATCTTAAGCTTTGGATATATGTGGGACCTTGATTGGTATTGAGTATTTTTTACATGTAGGGAGTCTGAGGAAAATTTGAAGAGAAACAAAGTAAACACATACTAATTAATATTTCATAGCACATAGAGAAGGGTATAAGAACAATGAAAATCAATTTCAGGTTATCCAAAGGTTGATTAACCAACTCTCTAACAACACTTCTTATGTAAATATACATCACATCTATAGGTGAAGTAAACCTACCTGAAAAATTGTCTAATTCTCCTTATGTTATTCCCTGTAAGTTAAACGGAAAATAAATTAATAAAGTATACTATGGATTTAAGAAAACACAGAGATTAAATTTTGTACTCTTTAAAAGATAAGAACCAAACAACATGAAACTAAAACTGAAACCTCTAAATTCATAAATCAACTCCTTGAGCACTTCCATATCCCTTCCTGATATGGAATAAAACTTTGTAACTATTTCAAATTCATGTTCAAAACCCTGTCTTTTAAAGTAAAGATTATTTTCACAAGTCCACTGCAGAAAGTTGACTTTTCTGTTTCACATCGATAGCATCTTAACCATCAATGTGCACTTCTACATAGTTGAAGAAACAATCTAAATAATTTGTTCAAAATACATTCCAAGTCTAGTTCTTAAATTAAGTCCACAACTAATTTTTAACTTCTTAATTGAAGATATAGTCCAAATAGAGCATTAATTACCCAGACGACTCCCTCTCTGCAAGCCTGTATTTCAAAATGTCTACCTGAAGACCAACAGTAGCTGTTGTTCAGTGGAGAAGGGCTGGGCCAGTAGAAGACTGGCTGCACACAAAGAAAATAACCACTAACAATACCCAAGTCCAGTTGAGTGCAGCCACTTTCAAGCCCCCAGCCACGTAATGAGGATTTTCAAAACAAGCAGTCTATAGGGCTTTTAACCTGAAATAACTCCACGCCCTAGTGTATTGATCACCCCAGGGCTTAGTGTTGTACATATATATATATCCAATATAAAAGACGGGAAACACATGACTCTACATCAACCTTGGAAAGATCTATCAATGGATGACAAGGAGCATGTTATTACTGTTTGAAATATGTATGTAATTATAGGAGGAAAAGGGGTGGAGTGTTGTTACATATATCATAGAAGACATACATACCTTAATGTCATATAAATTTCTATTCATATACTGCAACAGAGCTGATTGTACTGCCAAAGAGAGAGAGAGAGAGAGAGAGAGAGAGAGAGAGAGAGAGAAAATTTGCCTTACCCAGAACTATAGTTTTTTTTCAATGTGTTTAAATGCTAGTTATAATGGAGAAGTCAATGATAATCTACAACTACAAAAGAAAGACAACAGATAATGAACCAAGTTATCAAAAAATATATAGTACTTACCTCTGTTCACATGTATGATGACCTATGAAGTGATCTTGAGGACGGCAATAGTTGGTGTCAGTTGAATTAAGTGCGATATTTAACTCAGCAGCAGGTCTCTAAGGTGTGGGAACTCACCTGTACCCTGGCGACAGTACATGCTGTGCACTATTGATTGATAGATGCTGTACATAGCATGTGAATAACTGTAAAGTTATATTGTTATCGAAATCAAAATTATGATTCATCTAGATTAACAATGGTTTTCCAATTTTGCACATAATCTGGGTCTTACATGATGCTCATTGTATCTGGAGTGACTTGGCAAAAATATTTTTAATATTAATTAATTAATTAATTAATCAATAAATATGTAAAATACTATTTCTTTAAAATTGTAGAATTAACCAGTTTTACTTAAAGTAATTCCTTTAAGTCCAACATGAAATAAATGACAATGAACAATAATAACTTCAGTTACTGAATCTGAAATAATGCTATTGAAAGGAAAACTAGAGTTGTCCCTTGAGAAGAAATTATATTGCAACAACATTCAAAGTGAATCCTTTAGCCAAACAACAAGAAAAACTTGTAGTGTTGGATATTATCTACGTTTATTTTTATTTATTTTTTTGTTTTGTTTTGTTTGAATGTCAAAATAGGGACACAAGTCTGATTTCATTCTTATCACCAATTTAATCAAATGAAAATTACAAAAGCATGGCATAAATTTGAACCTTTATTTTCACCCAGATTGTTCTTGATCTAGATTTAAACTCATAAGACATTTTTGTTTATCAGCATTGAAGCTTTAATCCTTATTCTTCTGATAACATTTACTATAAAAATTTTGAACCAGTAAATGTCTGCAGAAACATAAAAACGTTTCTGGCCAATAAATCTTCATTCAAACAAAATGAGGAAGCCCACCATTGCGAGGCTGTCATGATGACAACTGACAAAACACAACTATATAAATAATGCAAGGTTACTACAGTGACATGTAGTTAAAAATAGTTAACATATGCAAAGCAAACACCATCAATTTGAAAACAAAATGTGAAGAAATCATGGAATTATTTTGTTTGACAGTACAACTTTATATCACATTTTAATAACTGTTGAAATATATATAACACAAAGCAATGAATATCTTTATATAAATGATTTTACTACTCTTATTCTTTTATATGGCCTTCCAATATTCATACAAAGGATATAAAAACAAAACTAAACATGACAGTTAAACAAAGTCTTCATATCTGAGATTAAAATATCTACATCAATATTTTATGGCACTTTATTATGCTGTTACTTTACTAATTTGAAACTATGTCCACAATAATGTTAACCTCAAAACTGACAAACTGCAATAAATATGAGTTATTAATCTAAATTACTTTCAAATCTTTTCACCACATTATTTTAGTGTAACTTTTAGACACAAGACTAGTGCTTTGCTTAAAATAAGAAGATTATACTATAAATGGAAAGCAAACAAAAAATTTATTAAAGATTTACACTGGTTTTATAATAATGAAGCGATATTACAAACAATTAAACAGGTTCATAATAGCAAAATGGCAGTAAATGTTATACCAATTCTATGATTAAAGGCATCCTATCCAGTATTTCTATAACAAATCAAATTTTCCTTGAGAAAAAAATTCCTTGAGAAAAAAAATTACCTGTCAACATTACCCCTAATATCTACTTTCCTGACAGTCACGAGATTCTGCAAAGTATCCAAAATGATCTTGTTTACACTTCATAACAAGAAAATGGCTTTAGAGTTTTTAAATTGTAGCCTTGTATCATGCACCATATAGATTTTTTTCTCCTCACATGAAGCCACAAAATGCCATGGTTTGTGCCTTACGAGGTTTATTCTAAGGCTTAGAAGGAAATATCAGCATCAAGTATGCTTCAGATATTTGTGGGGTTAATCATTTTAAGGTATTGGGAACATAAGAAGCATTACAAGAGAGAGGTGATATTTAAGACATCCTTCAAATGCATACTAGTTACATTAAATCTAGAAATAACCACTGTTCGAAGGGCTTTGAAGGGATAGGAATTAAGACAGTAGTAGTCATACATGTAAATGGTCAATAACGGGGAAAATGTAACAAAATGTAAACACTTTAATAAAACATTCTTATCAACAATCCACCTCCTTCATCTAAATATGATATAAAGTAGAGACAAAACTGCTTATGATACTCTAAATAAGATACTGCTACATTTATTCAAACTCCATCTGATAGAAAACTATACAATGGTTAGTTAAATCAAGCTTATCCTTATATTATATAAAATATATAAATCCAAGACAATTTCTGTGTCACCATACATAAAACTTATATCCGAGTATTAAATGTCCATGTAGTTTACTAAATGAGCTTTGATAATTTCTTGTCTATTCATACCTGGGTGTAAGCTATAGCTAGGAGACAAAAAAGGCAAGGATTTGCACAATGAAATTGCACAATGATTTTTCTTCAAAAATGCAAAATAAATAGCTTTATGTGCAAGTTGAGCAGCTACAAACAGCTGGTATGGCACAAGCTTTCCAGAATACTCAAAAGGGTTCTCAAATATTTTACATCATAAAAATGGCACAAAATATTTCAAACATTGATGTGTTGCTAAAATATCTTATAATGGGTATATCAGAAAATATATAATCCAAAACATTGCTTTCTTAAGTTATTTCAAAATATTTATATACATGTATTATATATATATAGTTTCAAAGAAAGGTGTATCAAGGAACACACCATGGGATTTTTCCACCAAAATGAATTGTTCTGGGGTAAAGAGTAATTTTCTCTTATAAACTATTGCTTGACCTGTTCTTGCACTTGTGTGCAACTTTTATTTAAAGGGTTTTATTGTTTTTGGAGTATGAACTGGAAAATATAAAAAGCTTCACAGGACATGCATGTAACTGTGGGGCTTTTTCAGAAGTGTGGGGAGAACCTATAACAATTGATTTTGGCAAGAAAATCTTATGGTGTGCCCCTTAAAGCTGTACACAGACATGCATGAACTATTCAAAAGTGAAAGGAGCAGAACATGATAAGTACATTTTCTTATACCAAAAACTTATGACACTAATAGATGTTGAACATCCTTTTTTAAGCTCCAAGTGAAATGTGCTTACTTGAATCCTTATGCAAACCAGGTGTAGCAAAACCTCTAAACAGCATAATCTTTTCTCTCAATCATACATGTGAGAGCCATTGCTATGACCATACCAATGACCTGTTGAATGACAATAATAAAAAGAAAATGTCATAAAACACTGCCTACTTTCAAGCCTCAAATTACTTAAAGTTTTTATTTTATTTGTTCAAGACAACTGTACAGCAGAAACTGAATTGTTTAAAATTCAAGTAGAACCGGAAGGATCCAAAAAGAAATGGTCATGAATTGTTGTTTATTGTTCTTTTTCACAAAAATTTAAGTAATCATGCCAAAATCCTGGCCTTTTTACATATATATTTCCTGATTTTGGAACCAATGTGGTACTATGTATACATTAAATACTGTATACACATGCTTCATATGTACTTACAATCAACACCAGTGTAGCAATCCCAACAGCAAATAGTGGAATTCTTTGTTCATCAAATGACTGCAAAAGCACTCTCCATACTTCATCAAAGCATCCCTAAAACATGAAGATTGCAATTTTATATAAAAGCATTTTTGAAAAGACAAAAAAACTCTTGTCAATGTAATGTTTTAAAATTCACAGAATTATCAATACAAATGAATGATAAAACAAAAGAAAAAAGTATTATCTTTCAACTATTAAAATTTGAAACATCCATTAGAAGACTGTACACACACACTTTACACACCCAGTGACATGCATGGCTCAGTATGCATAATAAGACATTTTAATTACCTTTTTATAACCATTTATTACTCAATCTTTCACGTGTAATGCATGTAAGACTTCCCTGAATTGATTACTCACATTTTCGTATGGAATACATGAAGCACTTCCCTGTTTACAGCAGCTTTTGGGAACTTTTTCCCGAGCAGCACCTAAAAAATAAATAAATAAATAATCAACAGTACAATGAAAAGAATACCAACAAAATAACTTTGTATATTTGAATATAAGAAATCGCATTATGAATTGAAAAAGTACACCACTTGGTTATAAATGTAAATATCTTTGAGTGAAATGGCTCTTAATTACTAGACAAAGTTGAAATTATTGAAAAACATATATCACAGATTAATGTTTCCTATAGTATTTGGACCAAGAAATAATAAATAATAAAAAATTATGAACTTGATCAAACAGATTGCACTATTTAAATAGTTTGATACATTACCATATTAGTGAAAATATCTTTGAGTGAGATATTTTCATAAAAATGATACTTTACAAAAGTGTATGTAAAATGTCAGTTATTTCTTTTTATTCTTTGAACAAACACTAGAAACTTTACACTGAAGTGATTAATTCTTTTTTGCACTGTATGTATAATGGTGCATGAAACTTACTTCTTGTTTTGTTGTACCAGTTGGTAACCCTATATTGCTCTATTGCTGCTTTGTCTGTAACAGCACAGCACTTGTACTAAAAAATAGAATATTTCCACTGTTCACCGAGGCCCAATTTGTTTCTTATAGTACATGGTCCTTGACATCTTTAAAGAAATAGTATGGGTAGTTTAGATGGCTATTTTGTAATAAAATCTTTTTAAAAACAGATGGCACAGTAACTGAACTTGAAATAATTGGAAAATGAATTTTTAAAAATCTATGTTTTCAGTTTTGAGTTACCTTAGTCTGCATATTATCCCATAATCGTGTGGTTTCATTTTTGTCTTTTTCACCATATTCATGTATCAATGAATTTGTCATGCTTGCTTTTATAGGTGTTTGCAGCTGAAGAAAAAACATGTATGCAATACAGTTTGTGAAGATACTTTATGCAAGACAAATAATCAATCATACTTCAGGCTTTCATGTTTTAAAACATTTAATTCATTCTTACTCCAGTGTCAATTATTTTCTTGAGAGACCTTATTTCCTTGCATTTAGGAGCCCATTGAAATGCCATGTTAAACAACTTTTTTTAAAATATACTTTCTACATTTAATCAAACTGAACAAAATGTCCATTTACACAAAATTGAATCTGACAACCAAACAATTGTCACAAATAAAAACAATCTGACACTCTTAATATACACTTACTGCTTCTGTAAATGCAAAGGCCAACACTGCAGCTGCAATCAGTGCCAGTAAGACAATCAACATTAAGATGAAGAACTGAAAAATTAAACCAAGAGAGATCATAAAGCATATTCACATATAAGTACAATCTAGCAATGGACATATATATATATCTACAATACTGCGTTTGCAATCAATAGTAACATCTTGGCTGAAATTTTTCTCTATAACTTCAGACTACAATATTTACTTAATTACTATTTACTTCATAGCTCAAGGAAAACTCAAGTTCAACCTCTCATAGGATAGCATTAATAAATTATATCAATATTCAACCTATGACTGTTCTAACATGGCCTGATATAGCAATTTTACTTACTGTAATAAGCATACATCTGAATTCCTTGACTGCTCCACAGCAGCCCATAAAGGCAATGATTACAATCACAGATCCTACAGCAATAAGAACATAGCCAGCAATCTTGTAGGTAGCAGCCTCAGTGATAAAGCCACTAACATCTAAGCCAGAACCTTTGAGTTTGGTGGAGGCATCATCATCCACTGCTACCCATATACCAAGACCCAGAAGGGCAAGTCCACAAAGCTGAAAAAAAAAAGACAAATGTCCATAACTTCTATTCTCATTTAGAATAGTTTTACCTAACATTTTAAAAAAATGTTTGACAAAATCAATTCAAAGCAGGGATTTTATCTTTAAAATAACTTGCTGTAATCTTTTTCAAAGAAAGTGACCATTGTTTAGAAGATTAAAGTTTTAACAGTAATGTAAAGATATTATTCACTTTAGAATATTTTAATATCATCTATCAGAAATGCAAAATTTGAGACTTACCAAAAATATGAAGTTAAAGGTGAACATGGCATACTTCAAACATCTTCCACATCCAGTTAAGCTACCCATGTTGAATATCTGTGTCTATGAATCCTTTTCAGTACCTTGTATTCTGAAACAAGATGCCATGTTCTTTCATTATTCTTGATCAATGGCATGGCTTCCTTTATTGTTCTAGTTGTTATTGTTTCTTATAAGTATCAAAATATTATAAAGACTTAGTAAATAAAAAATTCACATGTTTTTAATACAAAAAAAGAAAAAAAATTTGCTTCATTTGATCCCTAGATGCCAGTATCAGTACGAGTGGTTTTGCATTTATTTCAACCTCTAACACTGCAGTTTTTAAAAAATCCACCCACAAATCATTAAATCAAAAAATCAAAAAATCAAAAAAAAAAAAGCATCACAAGTGCCACCTTTAATCCCTCATGCTTTCTTATGGGATAAAAAAAGTCACTCCAAAGTCCTCATATTTGATTTTCATTTTACTGAAGTACACTATGTGAAGAGTTATAAATTATGAAGCCAAACATTTAATCATCTTAAATTCTGAAATTCTGAAAAGGACATCTCCTTTTTGTGCCCTCTGATCACGAGCTATAGATGCCACTCTCCAAACACCCATATTATTTAACTTCAAAGTATGTCTCATTTGAATGCTATCCACTTTACATAATTAAATATGAATCTGTCCTGTTGATTCTTTTTGTAATATATCCAATGCTTTCATCAGAGATGAAAATTTAGTATGTTAAAAATTATGACAAAACAATAAAAACCACCCAGGCCAATGTTGCCAGGACTTCAACAACATGTTAGCCTCTCCTTGTCAAGCTAATGACAAACACTGCTTCTAGCAGGTATTTTCCATAACATTAAAGTCATATTTGCAGACATTTCACCAAGTTGCCTAGCAACTAATTACACCATAGATGTATATGGAAAAACTTCATCACATTTCCATGCATCCCTTGGCATCTAGGTTAAAGCTCAGGAGAACAACTGAGTTGCATAAAACATGAATGTGAAAAGTGCACACCAAATGTACGGAAAACTTAAAAACATGGAGAATAACAACAACAACAATTATTATTATTATTATTATTATTATTATTATAAAAATCAGCTGTTGTTGCATTGTTTATCCTAAGATATTATGGAAAAAGATGGAGAAGTCATGGGACAAACTTGTGCCAGTCACAGTTGTCAAATCAATCAGACCTGACAAGGATTGGGCAGGGACAATGTTGGTTAGTGGCCTAGTTAGACCCAGCAACGGTAATTAATTAACAACCATGAATCTACTTTTGTGAAAGTCATTAAGTACAAGGGTATTTCTGATCATCAACATAAAAGAAGATATTTATCAATTAAATAATAATGTTACTGTGTGATGAAATAATAATAAATTTACATTTTTATAAGTGTGGGTCAGCAGTTATGCCAGCCAACACCCCATCCCTTTATGTTGTAATAAATGCATATCTATCATGGACACTATGAAACAACCAAGTGATCTGTAATCCAGTTTTTTTAAATGGTGAAATTGAACCCAATTATCCATATCAGAGTTGTTCTGTTCTATCTGAACAGAAAGACTAGCTATTACAATATATAAGTTAAACATGTAGTTGGGCATCACCTCAGAACACTGGATGTAATAATCAACTATTCAATTATTTTGTAACCTAGTATTTAAAATAAAGACAGTGAAAATGTCTGACAGAGATAAGCTTAACAGTCTTACTTACCAACTATACAGGATATTCCTATATCTGTCCTCTATATTCAGTGAAATGCGTAAGAGTGTGGTTCTCCTCTGTGCTATGACATTTACAAGGGTGAGATAGGACAGGATCCTTGTGGTATGTCATTAACTTGGGGATGAGTCACGTGTCCCTAGACTTCCTATCATGGGTGCCACAGAAAAAACCTGTTCTGGGACGAGAACCAAAAACGTTAAACAGGGTCATCATTTGTAAGACAAATGATTTATTTTTGGAAATTAGCAAGCCACAGGTGAAGAATTCAGCAGGTTTCTTCAGATTGATTAATTCATATAAAATACTGTAAAAAAGGCCTATTGCAAATGGATTAGACTATGTTCAAGTTAAACACAGCTCATCTAAATCTTTATAATGTCTATACAATCTCTAGCTTTTCAAAGCAAAGTTATGTGTACAACAGATAATCCATAAAAGTTGCCTGGAAGTAATGCTGAACTATTTAGCTTAGCATACTGTTACATGACAGAGGCATACAGTAAATATAGTCACATGAATAAGTCTTTTTCAGGATATGACAATTGAAATTTTAGGGTGACTATCTTAATAATAAAGATAAACAAAAATTACTTAACCTGTTGCCNGTAATGGCAAGTTATGTGTACAACAGATAATCCATAAAAGTTGCCTGGAAGTAATGCTGAACTATTTAGCTTAGCATACTGTTACATGACAGAGGCATACAGTAAATATAGTCACATGAATAAGTCTTTTTCAGGATATGACAATTGAAATTTTAGGGTGACTATCTTAATAATAAAGATAAACAAAAATTACTTAACCTGTTGCCATGTTCCATAGTGACCATTTTGCATTTCCTTCATTCTTGATTTTCAAAATAAATTTATGAAACCAGTTTGATAACATAAATCAGTTTTCATTGGAAAATACAATACTATTGAATATGATAACAATCAAACTGGTTTGCAAGTAATTGGTAAACCTAACCATGTCATGAAGCATGACATCAATTCCATAAGAGGTATTCTTAGTCCCATTGTTCTTGGATAACAAATCCACTGGTTAATCATTTTGCTTGGACAAAGTCCATGTTTGGAAAAAAAAATCCTAAAACTGATGCAAATGTTCCTGAGTGCAATATGGAGCCCAGTTAGGGACTTAATTTGTTACATGTACAAAAATCAAGGACTCTCAAACAAGTGGAATGCAAGTTATTGAAACTCCTGTTTCAGTCTATTATAGTTATTGATACAAACAAAATGGTCCCCTTTTGACAGTTAACTGAAGAGACAAAAGTATCTTATGGCTGATTTTAATACCCAGTTAATTTTTCATGATGGGAAGTCATTCAAATAAATTTTTTTCTTCCCCAATGGTACTTCTTCAGAAGGTAGCAAATTCAGCAGCAGGGAAATTATGCATAGGTATGCAAGAACCCTCATTTAGTTTATTTCCTGGTAAGGGTTAGTAATAACACATTAACAGAAAGTATTAAGACTTCATTAGCATTAAGGAGGGAGTGGACTTAACATAATCAACTATCAAAATTAAACAAATGACTTCAGTTAATATTATATGCAACAAATGAAATACACCTTCAAAGCTTTCCTTCTTTCCAAATAGGTACGACTATTTCTAAGCAAAAAATTTGTTCACTATTCAAAAGATTTACTTATACCATATTAATACCGAATCCCTTTCTACACTTCAATGGAAGGGGAGAGACAGTGTAATTCATACCGTATAATACAAAAAAAAAAACAAAAAAAAACATTCAAATATATTAGCTTCATTCCACTGTTATCTATCACTGAAAAAATGTCATTAAAAAAGTTTAAGGAAAAAGTAAAACTGAAGACTGATATTAAGTATGAGTGTTCATTTATTCAGTTCATAATGGCTTTCATTTCTTTTAAAATGCCTCTTTAGAGATAATGGGGGTTATACTCGGTATATCAAAACCAGTATAGTTAATAATGTACTCAACAGAAGGCATTAAAATAGTTATAAACAATTACATCCATACTAAAAAGCATTTTAACTAGGCTAAATGCAAAGGTAGCTATACAAATAAAATCTTACATACAGAATTCTACATAAATTCACAAAATGTAAGAAAAGCTACAACCTAATTCAAACACTAGCATTGTTGTTAAAGATGTAGATGATACACACTAATATATATATATCAGAAATATTTACAATATTTCTTTCAATATAAGAACCAAGTTCCCCAAATGAATTTTTTTCTGGAATGCATATTCATAGAACTTTGCAAAACAAATTCTACAAGTGTTTTGAAAAGGTGCATTTTACTGTTGCGAGTGGAAATAAAAACAATTTTAGAGATACATAGTATCACATGGTCTTGGTCCCCAAAGAGTTACGAGAGATTTAATAGTCTAAGACATAATCAAATTTGATTAAAACTTTTTCAGTAAGCATCATGGAATCAATAAAAGTTTTCTAAGAACTCATTAACATTTTATCAATATTTAAATACATTTTCTGTATCTAAAAAGTTATAAATTTGCTAAAATACATGGTCTGTATAAAAATATTCACATTGCAAGATTCTTTCTATTTACATCCTCCAATTTCATTTGTCAGCTCCTTTATTAAGTCAGACAAGAATAATTATGATAATATTAAATTCAAGGACCTTGCTTTCAGCAACTGCTTCCACTTCCTATCCTTACATTTTAAACTCTGATCCTACAAAACAAACATTCATAAGTAGTATATGCACACTAAACCTTTGGAGCTAGGGCAAGTTGTCCTTGGGTAAACAGCGAAACAACTTAATTTTTCTTCCTTTATACAGGATAACTGGGTCAGTTGAATTACAAATCGTAGCTGACTTAACCACAACACTTTGGTATACTACACTTATTCTCTGCCGTTTTCCAGGAGGTGGGTTTATATACAGCTGTATATTGTATGTACATAGGTTAGCACTGTCTGAGGTTCAACATGATGGATACTTGATGTATCTAGTCCCATTCTAACATTCTCACAAAAGATATGGATCCTATCATGCCTAAGATCTGAAATAATGAAGTAAGCATTAGTTAGCTAATTGAATTACCACAACAGATCAATAGTTGTTTTTCATTTATCATCATCATATTAACTGATAAAGGTTGTGCATGATAAATAATATATTCATATTCATCATCATCATCACCCAATGCTCATCCCTTAAAATGAACATTACATAATCCTCTAACAAGTACTACTTTCATGTCTTACGTCAATTAACTACACTGTAAAGCCATACCACATGCAACTAAAGCTTAGATTTCTATAATAATGAAGATGTCTTACCATTACTAAAGCTATAACAAATGCAACAGAAAAGATGACCCATCCATGAGCTGATACCATTTCAAAACCTTTAGTAAAGCAGCCCTGAAAAAAAAATACAAACATTACGCATTCATCCAAACAGTTTTAACAGTACTGGTGACATGTAAGGCAATTTTCTTTACTGCTAATGCATTCTTGAAAATTAACTGTTTTTAGTGATTAAGCTAATATAATTCTATTGGCTCAGTACTAATCCTGCTCTGTATAACATGTATATACCAACAATTTTGTCAGAAACATAAAAAGGTTCCGAGAAACAGCACACACACACAACAATCGTACATCTACAACATGTCATACTTACATCGTAATACAAGAATAAGTTTGTAGATCCTAGTTTAGTTTTAGGTGGCATAGAACCAGATGGCTTTTGACAGTAGTCAAGATTTGCGTAAGTCCCATCATAGTTCCGAGCACAGCATGACTTCGGGACATATATTTTCTCCGTTTCTGTAAAAAAAAGAATAAATCTAAAGATTCATCAAGTAAATAACACACATCAAACACTTTGACACTGTTTCAATAATTTATAATATATTATTGTGAATGCACTGAAAACCATATAACTTACCCATGACATTTTGTTGTTTAAACCAAAATGATGCCCTGTAATCTTCCCATCCACTATCAACAACCGCACAGCAATTCAACTAAAAGTAATAAAAAACTAAATTCAATTTGTGAAATAGGTTTACAGAACAATACATTTGCCAGATTTTCATGGACCACAGCAGTTAGAAATTATTGTCACACAATTTGCTGGCAACAGAATCCTTTCATCTGGAGTACATAATTTAGACAGTCACATATTTTAAATGTCTTTTAAAAATGTCATTTTAGGCCTTACATTATAACTTATGATATGAACACCTACATGCATATGAGTATCCTGAGGATGAAAAGGGGGAGGGGGGATACAAATAATGTTTTCCAAGGATGGATTCCATGCTCCATAATTGTAAAAACTCGAATATGAAGGAATCTTTATTGCTCTGACTACTTACCATCCTCTGGGCCATGTTCCATGCATCAGTGATGTCTGGGTGCATGAAGTGGTCATACTGATTGATCAGGGAGTCATTCATGGTCTTTTTCATCAGGTTTTCCAACTAAAAAAGGGAATAAATATGACAGAAATGTTGACATAAGTGAAATTCTGTGATACTGCACATTTATCCCTACAAATACTGGATTTACACTATGTGATGTTTAATAGGATCACAAAAAAACTTAGTGACAAGTTAGTTTAGGTTCTCCACAGGAATACTTTTAGAGATATTACTCACATCTGCTCTGAAGGCTACAGCTAAGATGGATCCAACCAACAAGATCACAAAAATCACAACCAGGAACACAAAGTACTGAAAAAGATGATTTCAGCATTAATAAACCAAAGTGACAATGAAAATAACATCATGCTGTTTGAAAACTTCCAGTGCATAATTTCCAAGGTAGAGATACTCTGGTCCTACATGCTTTGTCAAAAAACTCACTGGATAAAGTAAAAACACTCATTAACTATTATTAATCTGAATCGGGCAGACATCAATCATGCTATACATTTCTGACCAATTGTATCATCATTTAAAAATCCCCTTCTGAGAAGATAACAACTTTCAAGCTCTTCAAACTATCTTACCGATATCATAAGGCATTTGTTTTCAAATATTGATCCACAGCAACCCAGTATACTGATGACCACCACTACAATCCCAATGGCAATCAACATGTAGCCTGCAGTCTCATACAGCACTGTACCAATAATTCTGGACAGGTACACTCTGTCTATGGCAGTCCAAATGCCAATGGCAAGCAGGGCCATGCCACATAACTGAAAGCAAACAAGCTTTGGTTACTAAGTAAAACATTAACAAATCAAATTAATTTATAAATCCTACTATAGCAAAGCATGTAATCTCTACTGTCATGAAAAATTTATTTCTTTACTTTTTTTTGCAAACTCAAGGTTTGTGTCACATTGTCAAATCTTAAAAGAAAGTCTTATAATGTGCTTGCAAGTACTTACCAAAAAGAACAAATTAAATACAAAAAGCAGCAGCTTGATGAGTTTTGCCCCAGCTCCACCCTCCATTGTGCTTAGTACGAGTTCTCACAACAGCTCACCTTTAAAAAGAAATCAACTGATAAATACAGGGATTCATCTCATAAAAACATATGTTAATGAGTTGTCTATCAGCCTTGTTAATTGTTTTTAAAACTTTTTGTGAAGTCATTCATTGCAAAATTTTACAGCCTATAACTCCATACTCCTGTTTATAAACCGTCATCACTTTACACAAAGTGCTAATGATACTTTTTTATGCAATAGTGGTCAATTATAATTTTTATTAATTAAAACTAATGAATGCTTTTTGAAGTTTTTAGTCAAAAGTTTAGACTCGCATTTATCAATATCCATGCCAAATTTGAACTATGCATGTACGTATTATATCTTTTGCAAAGTACAACTTTAAAGAGTCAAAATTCTGTCAGTAATTCAAAACAAAAACCACTGGATGCCCTATACAGTAATTAAAGTATAAATACAAATAATAATGATAATAATAATAATCTAAAAATTGGTGTGTTATGGGCAAAAAACTTGTTTCATATTATTCACTATGATATATATGTATAACAGAGTAATAAAATAACTTTAACTGAGGTCAGCGCTAATCTGACATTACACAGCAATAATGTGTTGAGGGATACAGAGGCGATGGGGGAGGGTAATCCGTGACATTCCAAATTGTTGATGATAGTTTTACACTTTGATCCAAGTTCTGATGGCATTGAGGGGAGAAATACGTTTAATCCATCTCGTAGACTCATTTTGAAACGACCAAAAACTAACAATTAAAAAGAATAAACGAGATACCAGCTGGTAATTTGAGGAAACTGCATTTCCGAAAATCACAAAACCATAAACAGATTAACAGACATTTAGATATCATACAGTACTTGTGAGCATACTGCCGCTAAAATGCCCTTTTATGAAGATCTTAAACTAAGACATTAAATATCTTGGGAGTATAAACCCATCATTCCTAAATTTAAGACGCCATTTTGTCTTGTTATTTTGAAGTTCTGCGTTGAAGCCTACGTGTTTAATCAGCCACATAGAGAACATGTTGACAAATTCATGTTGTTTAGAGATGTCTACTTACCTTACTATTAAAAAACACAAGCATATATAATCCAGATTTTAGAGCAACTTATTAACTAGGAGAAGTGTATTCATTCCTGTATTGTGAGTCAATCAACCGCCTTACATGACGGCCCACATTCTCTGGCAACACTGTCAATCAAAAAGTACATAGCTTTCTACAGTAGAGTTTACAATTACATATGCCAATTTATTCCACTTATTATATTTTAGCACTGTACAAAAAAAAATCTGAATTCAGAAACATTAACGAAATTAATAAAATGTGCCCCTGCTTGTATATCACACATTGTGGTATGTCATGACCTCAGATTCTCGCTGCAGCAGGTGCGCTGGAATGTGATGACAAAGTGCGCAACAAATTGCGACAGTTGTTACACCGTCCTCGGAAGGATAGCAGGGTCGTGAGAAGAATTCGGATTTATAATGCATTCAGTCTATTACACATTTTATCCGTATGACATATTTCATAAATTCCCAAAAAGGCATGGAATTTACTATAACTTTGTATTTAAAAAAATCATCTATCTATAAAATGTCCATAAGTTTAATAGCACAGTCAGCTCTTTGCATACACATATAGACGATATAGAATTACACGAAATATCTTTCAACGAAATATTTTGAAAATGTTCTTAGTTGAGCCTTTGAGTAGAAAAGAGATCTTTCCATTATCCTATGTATATCGCCTCTTGGGGAGGAAATCGGGGCTGAATCCGCCTACGTTTTGAATCTGGCCAATAAGTAATATTAGATAAACTTTGATTAAATTATGCAGTATTTTGTCAGAAGGCCCCTAGGGAAATATACCCACAACAAAAGTTGAATTGTGTATGTTTTCACCACATGTGAAAAAGTGACTTTTGTGCAGGTATAGGTTTGATTATGAAAAACGGATGTAACTCACCTCTGAGATAAAGGTAAAGACAATCTCCTCAGGCGGAGCTATGTCGTGTTTTGCTAAGGTGAAGGGGCAGAGGGATAAATTGCCCAACAAATTGCACATTTGAAGAAAATGGCACTTTGGCCGTAATATGCAAGGCACAAGGATAAAAAGCTTGGTATTTCTCGTCATAGGGCTTACATACCTCCAAAGCTGAGGAAGAGGTACGTATCCTTCCCTGGATCTTAAAACGAAAACCCAATACAAGTGTATTTAAGACAGCAAAATCTTCTTATTAATCCGTTTCAGCAATCTCTAGTGAGAGGCGTTCAAAATGGCCAAATTTAACCAGAAAATCCTGTGAGCGTCGCAATTCCTCAGTCAGAATAGTTTCAATGATTTTAAAGACGTATCGACATATTTGCTAATGCCTTCAAGATCAATAAAAATGGAATATGTGTCACGTAAGAAAGGGAATTCAAATATTCAATCAGCCCTGCGTTTAAGTGATACTCGAATAAAATATGCATTACTTATCGAACACAATCTGCCTTCGAAAATATTAGCTAGATTGATATATACCTCTTGTTGAATATTGATAAAAGTGTGGAACAGATCGATGATTGCCATAGCTGTAACGCATTGTGACCTTCGTATGATCCATCAAAGTTTGAAATGCAAACCATACTTGTATTGTACTCATTTCGATTTTCCACCGGAACAATATCGATTTAGTCATCCTTTCGCAACAACTGTACAACACAGTTGAAATGCGCTGTGACAGTAATGGAGTAAAGAACACATCATTTTGGATATAACGAAGAGAGCTAACATGGCAGGGCGGCACGTTTTAGTATTGTCTGTCACAATCTTACTAACTTGCTTGTTAAGTCTTCGAGCACAAGGTAGGATTTTCTTTTTCCATTTCAGTGTTTTCGCTTAAAATCAAGCCAACTGTCGGTCTATGTCGGCCATGTCTTCTGAAGTGTCAAAATTTCTTGAGGCCTATTCTATTACAGTTAACCGACTCGACGACATTTATGAAAGTCATTCCCACCTCCCCTTTTCTTACCTCAATATCAGTAACATCACACAGTAATATTGAACTTTTCATGGATAGGCTAATCCAGGTCAATTTTGCGAGAAATAGGTTATCAAAATTTTAGTTTGATTAAAATTAAAATCCAACTCCTAACATTTAGTTGCAATACAAGACTATAATACACTCTGATTTTATATTTAAACATTTTTTCCCCTTTGGGTCACCAGGAAGCAAAAGCAGTTGCTAATTGTGAGAACAAATTTACAGCATTTTACTAATCTTGGTTCAATTTACGTGGTATGTCTTACGCCCCCTGCTTCACTCATTCATCATTACATAAAATATCTTCTAGATGATCAAGACTTCAGCAATGACGACTGTGTGATCGCAGAACCTAGAACGGAAGAAGGTAACTATATGCGATGTGACACTGAGGAATCCATAGCTGCAGGAACGCCGAGATGCTGCAAAAAGGACAACACTGTGGGATGCTGCGAAGAAACCCAAGCGTGTGTACTTTTCCTTATTTTTAAACATGTATGAATTTAACATAATCTATTGTCGAAATACTGAAAGTAAGACATGTGAAATCCACGTATTTTCAAGTAACCCCCGCCCTCCCTCCTTCCCCCCCCCCACACATAAACACACCCACACGCGCGCGCGCGCGCACGCACATACTGTATATTTGAAGAAGTGAAAAAGTATTTCCCAAACGTCCCTAGCATATTCCAACCCTTGCGCAAAAATTGCATCGTTTGCGACTTGACTAAGATTGCGATTTGATAATTCATCTAAAGTAATGTCATCATATCATGTTTAACAGTAAGAGAAGACACCTCCCTGTTTATATGATATTTGGATTGTTCCTAGATTTGGTCGCATGGCCCAGATTGGCACCGGAATTGCTTGTGGCACCGTCTTTCTCATGACTGTCACTTTTATCATCTTCTGGTGTAACGAGGATACCTTCCCTTGCCTGAAAAAATGCAAGAAACGGTGTACATGGTAAGGAAAAGGGATATACATGCACATATTTTCAGTTTTTTTTTTAACCAAGTTCTTAGTGGTTTTAATAAAACATAAATACGAAGACATACTATACTTATATTTATAATAAACTTGCTACTAAACGTTCCCAAGCATGTACGTTCTTGTTTTGAATTCTACATGGAATAAAAGGAGAGCTCTGCCACATTTATCTGTCAGAACCCTTTTCTGTTTATTTCAGTTGCCAGAAATGCAAAGAGAGACGTGAAGAACAAAAGAGAAAGAAAGAGGAAAAGATAAAGCGCAAGCAGAAGCAGGAAGAGGCCAAGAAAGAAGTGTTTGCTTTTCGGCAAGAGGTTCAAGACGATTTCTGGGGGATAGCTTAGAGTTTACTCTCTTTTTTTCGTGTTGCCTTTTGCCTGTCAGTAAAAGTATGTAGGCCTAACTTTCTGGATAACGAAGACGGAGTCTACCTCTCGTTTTACTCATAACAGTGGTGATATGCGGATCAGCATCAAAACACAGCATCAAATGTGTGAATAATTTCATAATATTATTATTAAAATACATGCCTTCTTTTAAATTTTCTCTTAAACCATGACCTTAAAGTAGCTGGCCTACATGATCATGACTGGATTTTTTTTAGTTTAGAAGTTCCCAGATGAGACTTGAAACAAAAGGCTTTTAACCTGAAGAAAATTTATCAATATACATGTACTTGGTATTTCCAGTTTAATCTATGCATCGGACTTTCAAAAGTAATGTTTGGGTGTATTAAGGGAAAATGTCCATCTGTATTCCTTGTATTTCACTTTTGTCACGTAAATATTATGTTATGTGTATGTATATGGCAAAATTTATCTGCCGAGCCAGTATTCTCGAATGTAATTTGAATGTCAAAGATTAAACAACCGTCCAATAGGCAATATTTGTTGACAAAGCTTGGTAAATCTCTTCGTCCCTGTGCCTTAAATTTATTCGTATGAAATGCAAAATGCACACTTAATACCTTAAAGTAGCATTTGCTTGGAAAAATTTTCTTGCCTTACCGGCGGATACAGGATTTTGATTAGTTAAAATGCTGTTCAAACAAGTCACTTAAATTCGTTTGCCTTATCTGTTTTTGAAAACCAAGAAATCTAATGGGGAGCATGTGAAACATTGCAAAATAATTATAGGTTTCGTTGTCATTTACTCTCGAGTAATTTAGTTTACGAAAACAACTCGAAGTCTGAAATTAGACAAGGAGGTACATGTAGAACGCAGGTAATTAACTATACTTTCATTTGTTCTTTGTGGTTGTCTATTCATTAAATTATAAGTTATTGCTTATTCTTTGTTTTGATTGTTTTACTCATGTAAATGAACCGTCTAAATTTTATGATGTAGACAGAGAAAATATTTTGGATATTAAAAGTGATCTTTATCTTGACTGCATAAACAGTGTTCGACTCTACTTAAACCGATTCCCTTGTGAAAAATTGATTTTTTGCACAAAACTCACAATGGTGTTTGTTTGTGAGATATTGTCCTGAAGTCGGTATTTGTCTCTTCGCACAAGGTCGTTTTCTTGCAATCTGAAATGAATTGGTAAGCATAAGATTTTTTTAGTCGGACATCTCCCTATTGTTGTCTTACCTATCTATCATAATGAAAAAGATTGTTAGTTGATTTTCAACTGTGCCCAAAGCATTTAAACGATCTGTATCTTCCGGATATTATTTAAAGTAATAGATCTACAAACATTGACGTTTTACTGGTTCTACGCCTCAATCGATTGTGAAGTACATTAAACAACAAGGTTGTTATTGCAAGTATTTCATGCTCTGTTTGTCCAGATGATTTTTAGCGTTGTCAAAACTACACGACATGTAACGTCATTAAAAAACTCCAAATAAAATGTGTTTATAGCTAAGTGTAAGCAGGGAATTATATCCGTTTAACCAGGAAAATTGATGCTTTTAAGCCAATTTTTGAAGCAAATTGATTTCATCTCTAAAAAATGAAAATAAAAAGACATCCCTGGGTGGGCTTTTTCTATCTAGGTCTAACCATAGCAGCTGTACACCGTATGATGCTGACAATATACTAGTAACCTCTAGACTGCTTTGTTCAGATGAACCAGGAAAATGCACAGGTAATTAGAATACATGCAGACAGTTAGACCCCGGGAACATAAATTTTCTAAAATATTCTCTACAAAAGCGAAATCCACGTATAAATGCAATACTTACATGATTTCGTTAAACATATTTCTTTATTATTATTATTATTATTATTATTATTATTATTATTATTATTATTATTCGTCGATCTATTTTGACTTCGAAAAACGGGTTATTCTAGAACATGTACAATATTTCACATACTCTATTCATATTCAATATATTCATGTACAATATTCATTTCCTTGAGTTGCTGAGATATTTACAATGATTGAATTAAGAAAAAACCCTTTCACTCGTGTCACCAGGTAAACATTAAAAAATTGATGACGCCCGATCGTCCCCTGACTCATGTTTACCTTGGTTCACTTTGAGCTATAAATATCCTACCTGAAACGCTGTGACACGATTTAACTTACGCTTAACTCAGTCACAGGTAACATAAAGCGCAAGTGGGTCAATATAGCTCGACATAAAAGTTTAGACAGTATTCATGGACTGCAAATGGCTACCGTGATGGAAACCGTTAATGCAGTCCAGTCAGTCCAGTGTGGGTGCTGAAGGACACGCCAAGGACTTAAGGGTCCTACTGTCCCTTCAAACACTTGAGTTCAATGGAGGTCTGTTCTCCAAGGGGCTTATAGCACAGGTGAGAATGTTGATGTATTTTTGGAACTTTAGATCGGAGATAGACACGACCTGTTTCACGAATCACAGTAACGTTGCGTTAACTTTGATACAGGGTACCTGCCGGAGGCCTATATACCTATGGCGGTGCTTATCATCCAGTCTCCCCTCCGCCCGCCTTCCAGTTATTCATCGCAGAATTTATTGCGCTTGTGTCGAAATTGGTTAAGAAAATAAGACGCATGCTCGATCCCTTAATTGACCCAATGTACAATTTGGTCAAATTGGAAGCCACTGACTTGATGTTTTGATTTCTGTTGATGACTCAGGGACAAAACTCTGAAAACCCAGCCACAGATTTGAGGGGTTAAACAAGGTGATGAGAAATCGGTATATGCGTGCCTTAATTTACAACGCGTATGAATTACGCTTAAACTCGAGATGAGATGAGATTTTGTCACTGCATTGCCATCAAAATTACTCTTCTCCCTCCTCACAACATGCACTTATTATGTTTGAAACAAAAAAGTTGATAAATATGTTTTTATATTATTTACNTTGACCCAATGTACAATTTGGTCAAATTGGAAGCCACTGACTTGATGTTTTGATTTCTGTTGGTGACTCAGGGACAAAACTCTGAAAACCCAGCCACAGATTTGAGGGGTTAAACAAGGTGATGAGAAATCGGTATATGCGTGCCTTAATTTACAACGCGTATGAATTACGCTTAAACTCGAGATGAGATGAGATTTTGTCACTGCATTGCCATCAAAATTACTCTTCTCCCTCCTCACAACATGCACTTATTATGTTTGAAACAAAAAAGTTGATAAATATGTTTTTATATTATTTACTTTGCAGCAATTCTATACAAAATGCAGTGTGGAAAATATAAATGCACAAAGAAGAGATGGGCCATAATCATGATTCTGAGCAGCATGGCTTTTGGTCTGGTGGTAGGACTGGCAGTGATTCTGCCCGCTTCTGGAGCAGGTGCCCCGAGAATAAACATTAACCTGGGAAAGGGACCTGCAAGCGTTGGCCCAGGGGCTATAGCTGGAATTATTATTGGCGTTATTGTAGTAATCTGTCTCATTGTGTTAGTAACTTTAATTTTTTACTGTAAAAAGGTCCCAAGTTGCATACAAACTGACAATGGGCGCTTTAAAGTATTCTTGAAGCCCAGACAAGAAAGCACGGGGAAAGTTCCCAGGAGGCCGAGAAGGCACAGGCGACCACACGACGAGCCTAAGATATGGGGTGAACAAGAAATGATCTCTGTTGTGAAGTCCGAACCTGCTGGTAAAGACGTGTTAGATGGGGAGTTGGAAGTTGAACAATCTCTGCAACCTAAAACTCCGGAAAATGAGGAAAACGGCCAAGAATTGGAAGACGAGGTAGCTCATATCCTGTCCACGTCGGTTGGGGGACGATATGAAAAGCTGGATGAAGAACAATCTCAGACGTCATTTAAGGACGACATGGGCTATATACATACACAGGTGTAAGATTATGTGGCCACATATTCCATTCAGCTACATGTTCTAATGTAGTGTTTCATTTGTGTTCATCTTCAAATGAACGGCATTTATACATTTTTCCGCCGTCAATTACCGATATCTACTAAGCTATTTCGTCGTTCTTTTTTAAACACCATATCCCTATTTTTATATGGTTTATGCCAAGTTTATTAGGTGTTCAAGTGACAACACGTGAACCCTGCCTGTGTCTTCAGTGCCTTAATCATAGGCTACCGTCTACGTGTGTTATTGTGATTTTTCTACGTAGTGAAAAGGACAAAACACTGGTTTTTGTTTCGTTCATAATAAGTTCAATTTAGGAATCAAGGACCATTTGAAAGGTCATGTTTGGTATTGCATGGACATCAATGATTGTCAATATTAGAATATAATAACTGTACATAAAACTAAAATGATTGAGCTGAAAACTTTATTTTGATAGTTTCTTACATACGTGTGTATCGTGTTAAGTGGAACTTTTTATAGTTGTATATATTTTTTCTAAATGAACAGCTGCATTCATTTTCCGAATGATTTTTTATAAATTTAAACTTTTTACAGACATCAAAATAAAGGTGCTCAGACGTAATTTGTATGTTTCTTTTCTGTCCATTCAGTATGGGGAAATATATCTTTATGTCGAAATACACTGAATAAAAAATATCTTTGGGGATCAAAAGCAGTTATGAAAATGATAAGATAAACGTCACCCTAGTTAAAAAGAATTAACTGAAATATCACTATAAAGAAATAAAGTAACATAACCAATAAAAATTAATGTAAGCCATTTTAACGAATAATTTCAGTTATTACAGCATTGACAGATCTACTTAATTTTATGGATCGTTCAAGCCGTGAAAACTCAGGTTCCCTTTCATGTTCCATCAGTAATTTTGTTTTCAATTGATAAAAAGGAGAAGTTGGCTCTTTCTTATTCCATATTATCATAAGTACTGTCTCAACTGACACAATGAACACCCTTGCCCATTTCATACAACAATCACAATCACTGAGCACACTTTATACGTATTTGAAAATGTTCCTCGGTTTATTTTCATGTCTTAATTATTTGCCACACTATTACATATTTTCCGATTCAGGCCTTAAAATGAAAAAAAAAAAACCAATTTGCCTGATGTCGATATTTCCTTCTGAAATATTAGGAAGGTCTATAACTTATTGTATTTATAGTATAGTCTTTCCAGGCATTTAGAATTAAATTATTTAATAAAAAATAACATGAAACATTGAATGCCAGCCCACCAAGGGCGGCTAGATCAGGGAATAGTTCTTGAGTAAGAGATTTTTTTTTCGTAGGAAAATTCCATTTGGAACTAAATTCCATGATTGGATTGAAACAGAAGGGATACATAGGTCTACCTCATCTAGACCTTCTCCAGTTTACATGTATTTCCCCTGATAAGTATAGCCCCAGGGGTGTGGTTTGGACTTTTCCCTTCTCACAATATCTCACAAATAAAAACTTTCTTAAAAACACATTATAAAGGCCTACATTTTTACGTTTTTAAAACCTGAATGTAACACGTACAGTATTTTACAGATCCTTTTTTTCTAAATAGAAGAAAAATTTCCATTTATCAACATGAACAATACAAAAAAATATTCGTTAAGAGCTCATTATTTTAATGCTTTCCAGTAACAATTTTATTAGTGAATTAAACGTGCCTGTTCACAAGCCTATTTTGCCCTATTATATCTAGTTTATAAACTTATTAAAACTAGACCCTTTATATACTAGTAGCTATCCACGATTAATTAAAAATTCATTAATTTTATTATCATTATTGTTATGGCGGCATAGTGCAGTATTATATCCATCGTTCTATGCGATTTACATCCATGGGCCTTTCAAGATGACAACCAAATATCTACACTGATCTACTCAGTCTCTACTACAAAACGCACCCTCTGAAAACTTACAGGACTTAATTTCCTAACCACGTGACCACGCGTAAACGGGAAGATGAAAGGAACATGGCTGAACGTCAGAATGTGAGAGCTCTTCACATCTTCGGCGTATTTCTCGTTATTCTGTGTATCCAAGGATCAGGTAAATGACTTACAACTAACCTACATCGTATGTTTACAGAAACGTATAGCACATTTGTCTGTTAAGCAGCTTCTGCATGGGATAAAATAATTTTTTGCGTGACCCTTACGCCCCAGACGGAATCTGGGTCATAATTTACCGTCGGAAACTTGGGGATATCCTCAGAGAAACTTCGTCCGCTAAAGCACATTTTACATTGTGTTTTCATAATATCAATATTAGTAACCGAGTTACTATTGTTATTTTAATACTTAAGCAATATTGAAAAGAGTCGAAATACATGTGGCATTAGCTGTAGTCCAGCGATCCTACACTCGTGCCTGAACGTGTGACTCGTTGGAGTAGGGGTTCACTGAAGAATGTGTCTGTTCTGGCAAGCCCCAGTTAGTTGTGTTTTCGTGAAATTTACCATTTTGTTATCAAATCTGTTAAATTGGTATTTGTACAGGTACAAGGACAGACATTAATCAATTGTTTACCTCGCAAGTTTAAATGATAATTTATATGGAACCGGTCATCTGTCATCAACATACCGGGTACTTAGCAAGTGTACATGTAACGAATTGTGGCTTGAAGAAATTGATTCTCTCATGTAGAAAATACAAAATAGTTTATCTGCACAAGGGATCTAATTGGCCACCTTTTTCTTATGATAAGTGATTTGTGATAGATTTTTTGTCTAGTAGTCCAGGCCCGTAGCCAGGGGGGGGGTTCGGGGGGTTCGAAAGAACCGCCCTTTTTGCTGGGAAAAGGTCCACTTTGGGTAAAATTTGATCTAGGTACATGAAGTTTTTATAGAAAAAGGTCCACTTTTCTAGAAAAAGAACCCCCCTTTTGAAATTGCTGGCTACGGGCCTGTAGTCTGTATTCATAGATAACGGGAGTAAAATGATGCATGCATGATAAGACCTTTACCATACTGTGGGAATCAGACAAAATTTAGCATTTATTTTTATAATCAGTGCATGCCATTCCATGATAGATGAGTTTATTACCAGAAGCAGATTGAATGGCATTTTGGGTACATATTACTCCCATTTAAGTATATCAGGGTATATCCAGCTCTCCACAATTCTGTAATATCCTCTAAGTGACAATTTTCCCAATTAACCACTATTTAGGTTCATTTTTGCCACTTGAGTATACATCAAGGGTGGTTGCCCGTTTTGGCCTAAGGCAATGCCAGCGTTCAATTGCCAAACTGTTTTGGTTTCATAATCTAATTTTATGTATGTATTATATATCAACATTTACATTGCCTTCCTGTTTATGTTATTGTTTATGTAAGTAATATTTACAATTCCTAAAAAATATTTTATAAAATCTATTATTTATTATATTTGTATTGTATTGAATTTGCCTCATGATCTTTCACAATGATGGTCCAAGTTCAGCATTAACAAACTCCAGGAGAATTTTGTCTCTGTTCTATTGATTTTATCTTGGCTGTACGTCTAAAGGGATAGCTCTATTACTCTGGCTAGTTTTCCGGAAACAGAAGAGTATTGATCTAAGAAGTCACACATTTTGAAGGGCTGTGCACACTAGCATGTAGGACTGAATAAATAGAGTTTATCTAGGAATCCTTGTCATCTCATTTAGTGTTAGATGGCATGGAGAGTCATATGGGATGAGAAATTACTCATTAACAGTATTTTGAATTCATGCTAGAACTTGTTTTACTTGATTGAACACAAAAAATGGTCATATTGTGATGGCTGTGGTGAATATCAATATGAGAACTGTATATATAGGAAGTGGTTAGAAAGGATATCGTCATTCAAACCTTGGGTGACTAACTCTGTGGTAGAGTTGGAATACAACAGATCATTTCTCACCACAGAATTGCTAAAAGCTTTTCTCTTCAACTGTAATGTTTTAGGCACATAATTGGCACTCTCTGTCTATGCACAGAATTCTAAAATCCTATGCTCTGAGCCAGAAGTGTTCAATGATGTGCTGGCCAGTAGATTATCCCAGGGTAATAAATGTAGAATCAATAGATAGCAGTTCTTGTGATGGATAGAATCCATTATTCCTATATGGAGAGCAAACTGAAGGAAGAAATGCGTCATAATATTTGTCCTTTATTTCACTTCCCTCAGTTTACAAATAGCAAGTTCATTTGAGGTGAAAAATTAGAAGTTTTTTTTCATCACAAAGTGGTGTTCATTTAAAAAAAGAATGGTAAAAGATATATTGGATATGACAGTTGTGCTTATTAATACCCTTCAAAATATAATTTATTCTAATGTGTGATTTGAACTCCATTTTATTTTCAAAGGCTTGTGTCATCTTTTTACAGTTGGTAGGTTTAGGTAATGTCATTATGGCAATATGCACTATTGTAGATTTTATTCCCATAAGCAGTGTATAAAACCATATAATCAAGAAGCAGATATGGTACATGGTAGCCTAGGATGGGGAATGTATTGTGTTTGCCTCCCTCAAGACATTGCTAAAAAGTGAATTCATAATATTAAAATGTTTGTCAATTTTGGTAGCATTCAGTTTTATAGATAAAAATTCCCCTTTGTCAACAAAGTGAGGGTTTATGACATGGGGGGATATACTAAGTTGAGTTGTGCACATGTACATGCTAGCACACCCCTGCTGTCATGTATTTCTGTACATCTTTACCACACTGGGGCATTTAGAGGAGTGCAGGCACTTTTGTGTGTTTCTGTAAACCTATTTTTCCAACAAACTAGAGTACACACACTTATGTATATTACTGTAAACATTTTTACAACAAATGGGCAACAATAAGGGTGTACACCAAGTCTTTCCCCAGAGAGCTGTCCAGCTATCATTTGGGAGGCCACTAGGCTGCTTACAGAATTTGGGGGAAATGCCAGGTTGGGGACTTGACTTGCTTAGGTTGGGCTCCTTGTAAATAGTGGTGAAATTACAGATTCACATTTTGGACTCCCTGTACCCTAAACCATGAAAAAAAAAACCTGGTGTATTTCTGCACAAACAATTATGTAAATTAATTCAGGAAATTGGATTCAGCACTCTCCTGCAGCAGATCTATTTTTTTTGTCCCAGGCTTTCATCCTTTACACTAAAGAGAAGAGTATTTTGACATGCAGTTTTATGCTTTCTTGATCATCTGTTTTACTTCAAGGTTAATAGTGAAGTAAGCTATTAAACCCGGAGGCTCTTCACAGGAAGATATTTATATAAGTGTTACAGGGATGGGAGAAGCAGCACCTCATATATTTGTACATGTGCCATTTCAGGGAGAGGATTCTAGGTACTCAGAGCACAATTAATGGCTTACATTAAACATCCATTGCCAGGAAATGAAAGTTATCTTGCATCCAGCACACATACAAATATTTGGTACCCGCTTTTTCTCGTTTACTGAGTTCATTTGAATAGAGATAACCACACGGCACTTCCTTCCTGTTGCATTCAAGTATTTCATTCCTGTTGTGTTGAAGTATTTTATGGTGGTGCCATTTGATACTTGATTTGGCTGCAGTTGTGTGGGAATGAGGGCATGCTGCCACTGGTGTAAGGTGACCATGTAGATCTGGATGTCAATGGGCTCTGATGGGGATATTTTGGGAGGTGGGGGAGGGGCATGGAATAGATGATTATAGCTGTGCAGACAGCTATTTGTTTCTTATTGGATTGATACATATTGTTTGATTGATCTGCCTTACAGCCTGATTTCAAACATAGGGCTAATGTGAGGCAAATTCTATTAGATTAAGAAATACTGTTTTTACCCAGGGATATTGAATGTTGGGACTAAAATAAAAATGCCAGCTGACTGTCTGTTTGTTCTGTTCTTCCTAATTTAGTAAGGTGTCTACCTGCTCTCCTCTCTAGTGCTGTATTAATAGATGTGTTGGCCTTTAAAAAAGTAAAAGATGAGCTTTACAATGTTACTTCATTTTAAATCTTGTTCTATGGGCCAATAGCTAAGGCTGCCTCAGAGTATATGAGCGCATTCTCAACGAATTAAGCCAGGCTTTACAAAGCCGGTGACCTTAAAATGGCGGATGTACATGAAAGAAAAACCGCCTAATCTTTTAATAGTCTCTCCGCCTCCCCACACGTCGTCCCTGCGGGGTACAGTAATTAAATCGCGTCTCCGTTCGCCATGCGGAAGCTACCTGAGAAATATTAAGTGCGCATGCTCATCAGTTAAACTCTTGGTGAAGAAAGCATGGCGGCTGAAGGCGATCGAAGGAAAAAAGCTCTTCTGTTCTATTATCTTTGAAAACAGAGACGAAAAAGGAATAATTTGGCCCGTAGAGCAGCAATGAATCGACTTTCTACGGAGATAATATCACCAGAGATATTCACGGAAATATTAATGTTCGGAGCCGAGATTTAATGTTTGTGTTTGTTTATTTTAGTCACATATATCCCATTAGGAATCTTGACTGGGTAATACGTTGAAGGCTGTGGAAGGATGCATTTTGAGAATTGATGATACGTCTTCAGTAGCCAAAATGCCACATTTACAGAGAGATTTACTGGAGTAGACAGAGGATTTGTCTCAGTTGTATCCCGGCTTAATCAGCAAAACCTCCTTAGGTTTTACTTCCAACTGAAATCCCCCTCTACCTGAAAAAATATTTAGACAACCAAAATCATGTTTTAGTCTTTTTCATAAAACTTTCCTGGAAAATCTGTGTGGTTGATGAAAGTGGTAGAAATTTTTTGATTGCCTAACCAACAAATGTATTTTAGATTCCATATTTCACTGTAAAGTTTCAGTTGCACATACACTTTGAATTATGTAAAACTTGGAAAAGATATAGCACCGAATCTTGGCTAAGTGGGCTGTAATCTGTGTAGAAAGTAGTGAGTCAACCGTACAGACCCCTGTGCCATAGGGCCGAAGCAAACTTTTTTACCTTAACCAGATACTGCATCCTTCATTGCTTTCATTGAGTTAGCCTCGTGACACTTGAAAAGAAAGAGAAGATTTAATAATAACCTGATAATAGGTGATTCAGCTTGAAGCCATGGGAATGCATTTTAAAGAATCTAGACTTAAAATTGTAATAGGGAAACCAGTGGAAGAGAAGAAAAAGTAACTAAAGCCTGTCTTGACTACTATGGCTGATGTAAATTATCAGTAAACTGGTTGTTGAGATTTAGAAGCAGCCATGCTCATCAGTGATTCTTTGTACCTGAGCACTATGTAAAATTTCACAGTTGGTTTGCTAGAAGTATATGTGAGATTCATGGTGAAATGTAGACCTTGATGTTTCTACAGGGTTTGTTTTTACTGTCTCAGGATTTTAACTGTTGGGTTTGAATAAATGATCTGTGTTTGGATTATTTGAAAACCTGCACTGAACAATCACAGTTATAAAAGTTATACAATCATTGCAGTTAGATTTTGGTCATGTGAAGACATTGGTATTTTACTTATTGATGTGATGTTAAGGTTATATCAGCAATTGTTTTGTATCCTTATAAAACAAAATTTGTTATTTATCATTGTTACATGGCATTGTTTCTTGCTAAATACATAGAGCCTTTGCATTTATTAGTGAACAAATGAACAAATGATTTAGTTGATGAAGTTGATTGGACAGAAGGATCAGAAGTTTAATCAAAATATTGTCATATAGTCTATGCACATTATTGTTCCTCCTGTGACCATGAGTTCAAGACTTTTAAGGAATGTGTAAATGAAATATGAACTAGAAACAAATGAGAAATGAATTTAAAGAAAAATCAGAGCAATAAAATTTTATATATGCAACTTAACACGTGGACACTGGTAAATAGTTCTGTTGAATTACGTCTTCTTGTATTGAGTAAGAGGGAAGGACCTCCCAATCCATCATCACCTGCTGTCAGTCCAATTTATAAGGTAGGTTATGCGGCTGGTGTGGCATGCAGGTGTGGATAGTAACTCTACTGTAGCTGCTGGAATGTAGAGAGTCATTATATATACTGGGCTCTTGGCCTATATTACTTTGATCCAGGCCAGGTTAGGGTATGTGGATATAAATTTTATATCTTTTTCAAGTGACAGGTATTTCTATTTACCTAGTCTTTGAAGTCTTCTTTATCTATATATGTATATACTTGGTCCTACAGAGAGCACTGGTCAGATGGGAGATTTTTATTCTGTCTCAAGGAACAAATTACCAGTATTCTACCTGCTGTTGAAGTGATGTTCATATTAGTCGACTGGTGTTGTAACCCTGTTCTTTTACACCAGATTTAGTTCAGCAGTGTTATGATAGAAGCTGGAGCCCAGGTGTTCCTTAACTCCACATGAACCTGTGTTTGCGCTTCTGTATTTATGCTTTTTGTATTATAAATGTGTGTATATATGTCTCTGTTTTCTTTTGAAATTGGGGTATGTGTGATTAGCGAAGAAGTCATTTGTGCTGTTTGGGCTGAGTTATTTTGTAAGTTACTTGTAAATGATTGAATCACAGTGGTAATATATTTAGTACCTAAACAGTGTTTACTTTTTATAGAAGAATAGGCAGCCTGTGCAATTATGTGCATTTCTTTTTGACAAAGAAATGGAGTAGAATAATTGCTAACTTTTTTTTTTTGCCTTTTAAAGCATTAGATCACTAAGTATCACATTTTCACTTCAGTGAAACCTCTGACTGTCTTGCTCTTTCAGAACATTAAACTGCATATGCTTTTAAATTAAAATATAATATATCAAGAAGCCATGTTTTCCTCAAAATCTAAACCATAACAATCACCATTATTTTTATGTCCAAAGCCTTAGTTGGCACCTCATGCTTTGATGGTACATAGCCCAAATGAGCATTGTGTCTCAAGCCACATCTTATCTTCAGCTGGTACAGAGTATAACTTATAAATTATTTATTTATTGCATTCTTTTCATGAACAGATGTTTATGTAACATTTTATAAAATCTTTTTAGCCTTTGCCAACTGCCCTTCTGGAAGATATGGATGGAGATGTAGATATGAATGCCAGTGTCAAGATGGCGTAGAGTGTGACCAGACGACAGGAGAATGTGTTGGTGGTTGCCAGGATGACCGTTGGGGGCCAGGATGCATATTAGGTAATTATATATATATGTGTACAGCTTGTACTTTTTTCTTTTTTCAAAAGTGCATGATTATGGACAATATTATTGTAAATTCCTGTTTAAAGATTTAATGTAAAAAATAATAAAGATAGTTGAACATAAAATAATAGAAATGAATTAATGAAATTGGATATTGTATTTCTGATTTTATGCTAATTCTTTTCTTATTGCGCAACTGGTAATCTTTCTTTCCTATTCTTATTGTAATTGGTTAAATTGATTGAACAGTGAAAAATCAGTGCATTTTCCCTTGCCTTTCCCAAGTTATATGTGGATGGTTCTCCATATTCAGCAGCATTCATGTGATTCTTGTCATAATAGTTTAAAACAATTCTATACAAAATTGAACATGAATAAATTGGTCTTCCATAGTAATCAGTCATGGCATGATATAGATTATATAAAATGTTATTATTATAATATTGGTTGTTAGGATGAAATTTATCTGCTAGGATTATAGAGAACCTTTTCTTCCTAGCCCTATATTGTGTTCCTTGTATTATTGTTAGCAGATGGTATTCTCAAGATGTAATTTCCTGTATATTTAGGAAAACTGAAAATGAAAGACCAATTTTAAAATATGCTTGCAATTTTTTTTGCAAATAATAAATATGCATTAAGGTGAGGAGGAAAAGAAGTTTGGGCAACATCATCTGCACCTATATTCTTATCTACCATAGATATTTATGGTTATAAGTTTGATTTATGATTTTGATTAGTTCTCATTTCAAATTGAATGCATGTTTTGTATAGAATTGAATGCATGTTTATATAGAATTGATGAGTATGATTTGTGTACATGCTTAGCACACTGATGAAAGACATTTATATATCAGTAAATTTCTTTCCTTACCCTGGTGAAAAATAATTAAAGAGAGACCAGAACATGCATTCAATTGATAATTTTTTAGATTGTGGTTCAGTGATTTGAACCTTGATTTGTAGATTCCAATTGCTACTATGATGACCATGATGGCATACACTACACTGGAAAGAAAACTTTACCCAATTGTGTGCGCTGGGATTCTGGTAGTCCAATCATCTACAGTAACTATCGCAATGCCTCCTACTTTCCTGACAAAACCCTTTCTGATGCTGCTAATCTGTGTCGCAACCCTAGCGAAAACCCATGGAATGAAGGTCCATGGTGTTACACAGAAAGTGTCAGTAGATACACCTCTTGTAGTTTACGCAAGTGTGGTGAGTATCACAGGAGTGTGTGACATAGCCTATGTTTTGTGATCTTTACCTACGGGGTATATACATATAAATTATGTCTCCATTCTTGTTTGTTTTGTGTGATTGTCAAATGAATTAATACCTAAGAATAGAGAGTAAGACAGGATTTTGGTGCAGAGCCAACTTGTGATTTTCCTCAATGATTTACTTAATCTGTGGTTTCCTGGTAATCAGGTCTTAGCTTAGCAGAGATACCAACTTTTTTTGTTGTACTTATATTTAATACCTTTAAAATATTGTATACCTTTAGAATATAGTTTTATTAGAGGTTGTTAGTTTGATTCTTCATCATCTGGAATATTGCTGTTATCTTTTCATTTATGTTGTTACACTGTTTTTATTTTAATTCCTTGTTATGTGATTCTGAACATAATAGAAATGTCTGTAAGATTAGTCATTTATTTTCATTGCAAAGTATTTTCCTTAAGTAAGTTCTTGATCGTTCATTTAGTTTGAGACGCGTTTCCAAATAACCTCACTTATATTATTGTTACATATTGAAAAATTGTATATCTGTTGTTTCCAGACTGCCCAGCCTTCAGGTTTGGTATAAACTGTAGAAGTGAGTGCCACTGCAGTGATGAGGAAGAGGACTGCAGCCTCACTGGCATCTGCTCCTCCGGGTGTGCAGACGGATGGAAAGGAGGCGACTGCCAGACAGGTAAGATCTGCTGTGTTATAGTCTACCTGGGAAGCCTCTTGGCTTTCACCTTGAACACAGGGGTATCTGTTTTAATGAAGATCTACTGATATCTGTTCATTGCTGTCTGAGAGCTCCAAACATCCTGTGCAGACTACAGAGATGAAGGGATTTTCTGCATGCTCGCTATATTCATCTCTTCCAGCTCTACACAATTCAAGAGCTTCTTAATATATAGCTCTGTAGAACAATATGGAATAGTTGCTACAAAGTATAGTGAAATATTGTAGAGATTATAGAATGAATTGGTATTATTATTATTATTATTATTATTATTATTAATGCTTGAATCTCTCCATCTTGCCATGGGAAATCAAGAAACAGTTGATACTTCTGAATTTATTTAGATAAACATGCAAGAAATATCCTTTCTTTTAAAAGTGTTCTTAAAGCATTTAATATGCAGTTTTTCTGTAGGTGGGTTAGCAGTATTTTAAAATAAGTGTTTATATGTGTAGTTGTACAAGTGTTAGTGATTGTAATGTTGATGTCAGTTTTTATGTTAGATTGTGATCTGTATTCCTACATAGATAAGTTATTTGCATTAATTTATATAAATAATAGATAAATATTGATTCAACTTTTATTTGAAAAATAATTCCAGTTAAACAAACTAAAAGGTCAGCTGCAGTGTCAGGTATAAAAGACATTATTGCATTACCCCAATTGATTTTTTTCTTGAAATTTTTAGATTTGAAAATTATTTAGATCAGTTTGTTTTGCCACTTTTAGTCTCAAATTTTACCCCACAATAACTTGAAAATTTGATTTTATTTTTGATGCCTGCAGAAAATTAGTGAACGTTACAATTTCAGTTCAACCTCGTGTCAAATTTGAAATGATGGAAGCATGAACATTGTGTCAGTATGCTGCCAATTCTTTCTGTTTGTTTAAAAACATTTTAATGTCTCTTAATTAAATCTTATCACTTCTGACAAAATGGATACAAATAAAAAACAATATGACATAGGTAAGCTTCTTTTTGATGTCTGTGAAAAGGATAAACGTGTTAACATTGTGCTTATCAGACATAAGTCCCAGTAAGTCTGGCTCATTATACCAGGTATAAATTCTTGATACCAGTAAGCAAACACAATCCCCTGTAGACTATTGATATCCAGGCGATTAACGGCAGAAAGGACAGGTAAACTGATGGTGATTCATCAGTGTTCAAATCGATGTTTTTAGTTGATCGATAAGGATAACCACAGCTCATAGTTACATCTTTTGAAGCCCTCTGTAATCTCTTTTCACACAGTCCACTGTATTGAACACTTGTTCTGCATGCAGAAGTATCTCCAAGCTGATGGCTCAAGAGTGCTGTCTTTATTACCCATCAAATCCTTAGTGCATGAGAAATATGCCATTAGATCAAGCCAAGTCATTTGCCTTGGGGCCTGAATTACCCATTACACAGTGTACTTAGCTGTAGTTAGCTGTAGAAGTGAGTCATGTCAACTTGCATGCTACAATGAATACAGGTGTAAAGCATGATTTCCTGTACTGAGAAATCACTCTTCGTTTAATAAAGACAAGGATGAGGTTTCTCCCTCGATTGTTCTATCATTATGTCATTCTGTAAATTGAAATTGTTAGAAAACATTTGTTCAGAAAGATCAACATATCCTGGACTCTTTATAATCTATAAAATTACAATAAATAAAGTGTATTTACTCTCGAGGGTAGAATTATAAACCAGCAAATGGTTAGGCAGAAAATTTCATCTCAGTACCAAGTATCAAGACCACATTGTTCATTGGACAATGTTACAAAATGAATGGTCCATTAGTATTCCTGTTTCATGACTTTACCCAAAGGGAACATTACCGCCCTTGCCTTGATCAGAAAGTGAATAAAAAGTTCCCCATCTCTTGTCAAACTGATTGAATTGTCCCAGTTTAATGTGCACATATTGCCAACAATGGGGAGATCTTAAATGACAGCTTAGTGGCAGTATTCCCTCCTCAGCCCTGTATGAACACGGCTAAATAATGGCCAGGCTGTGCAATGGGAAGGAAATTCGATCATCCCTCCTTCTGTTATCACATTTACATTCAGTATGCGAGAATACTTATTAGGGGATTGGAACAGAAGCGAAGTTTTCATTGGATAACTGAATTGAAGTTTTATTTGTATTTCTATAGCCACTATAACGCTTAGGAAAAGATCCAATAGAAAGGGTATGAAGAGCTTTTTTTTGATTGGGGAGCGGTTATGGGAATGATAACATGACAATAGCCTAATCCAATTTTTCATTATTAGAGGTGTCTAGGGGGATTTACTTATGTGGCTGCTGGACATGAATATATATATGTAACTTAGTATGTAGTGTGTGATTCACCATGATTTCATGTCTTTGGTTTTGGTTAAACTTGTAATTATTGATTAATGTTAATAGGTGACTGATTTTAAGTGTGATCTAGAAGGATGGGATGGTTCAGAAATAGTGATAATTTTGTACCATTCTTTTTATTACTTACTAACAGCTTGATCCACGGTAGATTTTCTTTCTTTCTATTAATCGTGTAGCCTGTCCTGATGGCAGCTTTGGTCCTAACTGTCTGAAGGACTGTCACTGTGCTAACCCCACAGAAGCATGCAATAAGACAACTGGGAAATGCTCCTCTGGATGCAAGGAGGGATGGACAGGAGAGGACTGTCACCAAACAGGTACACAATAAATAACCTTGTTTCACAAAAAAAGGGAAACAAACCAAAAAAAAAAAAAAAAAGAAATGTAATAGAAATGGTACTAATCAGCTAAAAACGGTTATGTTAAGAGGAAAATGGTCTGTTTCATGGCATCCAGGTTCTATCCAAGTAGCTGACATGTGCCTTTTTTTTTTCAATGGTTAACACTGGTTTTTATCTTGGTGTCTTGCTTGAAATAGTAAACATTGTATTTTATTTTTTTCAAAATGGTTACAAATGAAATATTTTTTAGCTTAAATAATGTGATTTTAATTGATTATGATGTTTTCTGCTCAATTTAACTATCCATTCTATAACATTGTAGATATTCCTTACACAATTAAAACACCCTTTACATCAAAATTTGACATACCAAGAATATTGACAGTCAAATGTAAAAACTAAATTAATATAAAATTCAGTTGGTCATACCTGTTCATATTGCACAGTGTGATGTAGCTGCACATCGCATGTTCATTGCAAGCTTGCGTTTGTTCCTAAAATCTAAGTAGGAACTAACTTTTAGTATACCCATCACAAAAAAAAAAAAAAAAGAAAAACCTTGTTACAAAGACCCTAACTTGGTACAGAACATGTACACAATAAGCAAGAGTCGATGATCATGGAGAGGGAACCCATTAGAACCAGTTATCATGCAGTTATCCTTGCTGTTTTAGGTTGTGAAGATGATCGCTATGGGGAGAACTGCCAGAAGGCCTGTATGTGTCGTAACCCAGCCCATTGTAACAAGGAGGCAGGGCCCACTGAGGAGTGCCAGTGTATTAGGGGGTATTATAAACCACAGGGACAACTGGGGTGTCAGCCAGGTAAAGGAATGATTAGGAACACCAACCACTAAAGGTGCCATTCGGTGTAGCTATTATATAGATTTAGATGAACCTGTTTGATTTTATAGTTTCGGTATATGTTATGGTTAATATGAACCTGTTTGATTTGATCATTTCAAAATATGTATGGTAAATGTGATCATTGGGAGTATATGAAAAATGTCCTATATTTCTGTCAGTTTTAATTTGGTGTGAACAAGAAATTTCGTACATTGTTCAAGATTTTATACTTCTATTTGACTTCCAGTTACTCCTCCAAGAATCACTTACTTCGAAAATGAAAAAGCCAACCCAGGCCAAAGTGCAAAATTTACTTGTATAGCTTTTGCCAAGCCTGCGCCTCAGGAAGAAGAGATCCATCTGATGACCCCAAGGGGAAAGACGGTGGTCAGTTCAGAGTCCCAGCTGGTCACTGACACGGTGCGAGAGAGATCGTTTGTAGTGGACAAGGTGAACCCACGTGAAGTTTACAGGTGTAATGTCAGTACAGAGGCAGGTTTTTCCATACAAAATACCACAGCTTATTCATATGGTGAGTGGCCATGACTTTTAACCATCAGTATGAGTAAAGATTAGTTAGGTTTCATGCATGCTGTGGGGTAGTGCTTGGAAGTTTCTTTAAAATCTGTCAGCTTGTTTGTTGAAATATCATGGGGATTCAAAATGTATTTTGTAGACATTTAAATATGTTGAGTAGTATTGTTAACTTCAGCAGCCCAACCAGACAAGTTATCTGTTAGTATTTCAGATTTAAATAATGCATTACAAACCACACAGGCCATAGAATGTGAACTAGGAAATAATGGAGCCAACTGAAAAAATGTGCTGCATCACATTTTGATTTTGACCTTTAAATTCTTCTGACACAACGCATATCTCTGATTTTAGAGCTTCCCACCTTAAATGCTACACCAGTAGTGCGTGTGGACAACAACAAGATTACCCTATCCTGGAGAAAGTGGAATGAAAAGGACGACCAGGGAGATGGCCCTATTGTGGAATATACAGTGGAAACGGCCACACATATTAAGATGGATTGGAGATATGAAGGAGACCTCAACAGGTGCTTTCAACAGTGCCATTACTTCATGAGTAAGGTGCAAGTATTTCCCAATACAAGATACTTCTTCCGTGTGATTCCTAGACGTGAAGGAGAAGGGGGAAGGGGAAACCCTAGTCCAGTGGCAGAATACAAGACACCATGTGATGGTAAGTCATGCTACTGTACTCTTGGAAATTAGCAACCATTAGTTTTTGATTGTGATTTTTTATACCACTGTATTTGATTTTGCTGGGATGAAAAGGTTATTTTATGAAGCAGCAGTTTTATGTTTTGCAGCAGTTTTATGTTTTGATTTATAAAAAAAATGAATTAAAAATAATTCATCTTTTGTCATTTGAAACATTTGTGTATCAAGCTTTAATGCCAAGTCTTATTCTGTTCACAGCTCCATCTGAAGCTCCCATTTTGGGCAAGTTGAATAGCAGTTACAATAATTTTGATAAAACAAAAATCACAGCTATTTGGAAGGTAAGTTTCTTCTTTATTAATTTTTTCTGCTCTAATACAAAAGTCATTGCAAGTTTCCACTATTCGTGTATTCTTTTGTCATTGAGGTAAATCATATGTATCAGTGTTCAACCAAAATGAAATTAAACTCCGTTAAAACATTTCTCCCTCTCTCTATCCAGTTGCCATCACCAGCCTCCTACAACTGTGACAATGTAGAGAAACAGATAGTGTACATCAGCACCAGTCCTATGGTGAATGGAGAGGCAGTCTTACTCCCAGGGAAACAGGTGTCTGTCCACTTCTTTAACCGCCTGGTTCCATACACCAAGTATTACATTAGGGTGCAGTTTGAGAATAATGCTCAGCTCAGGAGTCCTGTGTCCAACGTGGAGGCTATCATCACTCCAGAACATAGTAAGTGGAAGTTCACACAGGCCTTTGCATACTATTGACTCCAGGTTTTGCTTACCTAATTTATTTCTCTTTTAAGGACACATTTTAAATTCTTGAATCTGCAGTTGAAATCATAATAAAGGAAAAACAGTTTAAGTGGAATGAAAACATCCATTGATTACAATATACTGAGTCTGTTTTAGTTGAAAAAAAAGTAACAGTAAACTATATTGACATTAGAAGAGCCCTTTTATGCATTTTCACCTTTTCGCAATTTGTAACATTCTAGCCCCTGGAAAGCCCAGAAATGTGAATGTTTCCCCAAAAGATGGCATTTCCCTGATTGTACGGTGGGATGCACCAGAGCCCCCTGGTGGTGAAATCATCCAATACCAGGTGGCATGGTGGCTGTATGGGGCCACGGACCAGCAGAGAAAGAATGTTACCATTAATTATCCAGCCACCAGGATACGGGAAACTGTGCTCAAAGATTTACATCCACACACTAAATATGGGATAGGGGTATGTAATGCATTATGAAGATGGTAGGGAGGGAAAATGAATATAATGTTATTTTGATATTTAATTGTATACAGTGAAATTCGGATATTGTTTTACACTTGGTTTATTGATTGGCTTCTTCCAATTAAAAGTAGGATTATTGTTTTTTCTGTTCTGCTTTAAGTACTAACTAATTGTTATTGTATTTTTAGGTACGTGCCAAGACAATCAAGGGATATGGCCCATGGACAGATACAAAGCCTCACATGACTGATGAAACATGTAAGACCTCTGTTGATACGTTCTGTTTTAAGGTTAAAAGGCATTGGAAAAGTGTTATTTTGCACATAATCTTGTATAAAAATGATAAGCGACTGTGGACAGTAGAAAGATTTTTTAGTATTGATATGGGTATCAGTGTGGAAGCCTATGTTTAATGTTTGGTCTCTCTCTTATAGTACCCGGTCCTCCATATGCCATACGGAACAGCTCCAGGAGTAATACCTTGATTGTCCTGGCCTGGCAACCTCCTACCTACCTAGGAGGAACACTCAGGGATTATTATGTAAGTGCTGTAAACAAGATAGTTATGGTTCTCTGTTAATTTTCTATGCATTTTAGGATGCTCAGTGATAAATTACTTGACGCAGATTTTGACAGATAGAAAAATTCCATGGGCAAATTGTAGAAGTTATTGAAATTTTACATGAAGAATATTGTCTCCCTGTTGTCTCTTTATGTATTTCATTTGATTGAGACAGTGAATTTCCTTCAGCTAAATGTTTTTCTGGGGATGTAAAGGTATGTCAATTATTTTATTGATGTTTAAACCCAGTGGAATTATGACTTGCGTTTTTTCTTCCAGGTTGCTTGCATCCCTCATGCTCTCACTGTGTCAGTTCAAGATGAAAAGGGCTTAATTCAGAGATATCTAAATGTGGAGAGAAGGAGCCAGGAAGCCAGGGTGGCTCCTCAGAAGAATTCAGCTGTGGTTGACAATCTCAGCCCAGGGACAAAATACCGCTGTAGTGTCAATGCCAGCACCTCAAAAGGTTTTGGTCCAGCCATCTCCATTGATGTCTGGACTTATCCCAAACGTAAGTCACATAGCATGAGTCTACCCCGCCCCTCCTTAGTTGTGTTCCACATATTAATCAAACTGGATTCTTATTGTTACTCAATATTACTGGTTTGTGTTCTTATCTTTTAACTGTCTGAATTGGTTGATCATCCTGAACATATTACCTATCATTGTAGGAGCATTATTGAATCTGTTTAACATTTTTATGGTTTTCTTCATTTGTTGTAGAACCTGTTGCCCCCTCAGTCCCCCAAATCATCAAAGAAGAGACAACAGACACCACCATTTCTGTAAATCTACAACCAGCACTTGATGATGTTGGGTAGGTGATATTATGTTGTCCATAGAAAGACTACTTGTGTTTACTAGACAGGTTTACTGGCCTGAAATTTACGTATATTTTATTATTTTTATTATTATTTTCATATATTTAGTGTCTTAATTTTTCTGACTAAAATTGGTTAATTTACACTCACTAGATCAGTTCTAATAGCTTATTTATGTATTATTTTACAGTTTGTACAGGTTGGTTGTAGAGAGACTTCCAAAAAAGTCCAACAGGCGTAGAAGGTCCATAACAGTTGAGGAGCTGAACACCAAAGTCAGTCTTCCTGATTATTTTGAAGCAATGAAGCATAATATGAGTCATTACTTGGCGGCTGAATTTCCAGCCCGAGAGCTGAGGCGACCCAGGAGGTTTGTTGTGGGAAATGGGAAGAAGTATGGAGGCTACTATAATGCCCCCTTGGAGAAGGGGTCAGAGTACAGCTTGTGGTTTGGAGCTGGCAGCTCAGCTGATGGAATTACTGTGTTCACCTACAGTAAAGCTGGGGAGCCCATGTTAGGTGAGAGGCTCTTTAAATGGCATTTTTTTGCTGTAGAACATGTTGAGTATGTCATTCTGACTTTTGGTTGACTGATGCATTGACATTACTTGATGAACAAAGTGCACAGTGCTTTCAAACCAGACGTAAGAACAGATCTATTTTTTCATACAGAAAATTGAATTTAGAAACTCCAGCAGAGTTCACAATATCCAATATAATTGTGCCTAGTTGTTAAGTTATAAAAGTCAGAGCAGGTCAATATTTACTCACAGCAGTTATTTTACCCATATTAAAATGTTTTGTCTCTTTGCAGCTCAAGTCTTTGTTCCCCCTCCAAAAGAGGCAGCCACAGGAGAGACGACAATAGGGATTGCTGTGGCTGTGATTGTGATTGCAATTCTGGTGGCAGCACTAGTGGCTGCCATCTTTATGAGGAGGAGGAAGAGGCATCAGAGTAAAGAGTTGCTGAACTCCAGTACAGAGACAGAGAAGAGTCCCCAGGATGTGAAAGGCATTTCTATAGGTATGACCAGATTAGATATTGTATTCTTATCAGAATTATGAAGCAGTTGTGATACTTCCAGTATCCAGTACATCTTTATTGGTAAACACAGCCAAGATTAGTTTAAAACAAATTGCATGTAAATGTTTGTGAAAACATCTGATATTATATAGAGTAAGTGCAGTTAATTTTTTTCTCTATTAATTAAACATGAATGTTACAGTACACATATTTGGGATATTATTTACACTAATATCTCACTTGTGTTTGATTATGAAAGATGGAGATTTAATATAAATTCTGCTCTTTTCTTTCAGATATGGACAGTACCCAGTGTACAGACAGCCTGTTGCCCAATGGTGAACCCCCAGAGTATGAACTGGCCTCTGAGCCACTGTATGACAATGTGACCAAGGACACCACACCCATTAGGCAGCCCATAGAAGTAGAGAAACTGTATGACTATGTAATGGCCAAAAGAGACAGTACGACTATGGGATTTAAACAGGAGTATGAGGTATGTATGATGGAGATATAAGTGCAGTTCTGAAATTGTCGGTAAAATGTAAGTCTTCTTCAAATTTTGGTTCTTACCTGGAGTTTACTCAAGTTTAATGTAATTTAGGTTTTAAGCCTGATTTAAAGGTAACACTTGCTATATTATGCATATGTTACCTTGTATTTTTTTTTGTTTCTTTTCCACAGCTTCTTCCAAGTGGTTTCATTGCTCAACATGATGTAGCTTCCAAGATAGAAAACAAACACAAGAACAGATATGGGAACATTATTGCATGTAAGTGCAAAACAAAAAATGTCTTAGATATACAAAATATATTTTTAGTGGGTGGAATATAGTATTTATTAAGGTATTACATATTTTAGATCACTGTTTTCAACAGTGAAGCTGCTTGAAGAATATTTAAGTATTGATGTTAAATTTGGGGATGTTTAATCAACCCAGTTTTGTCTTATATTTTCAGATGATCACTCCAGAGTGGTGCTAGAACCATATGAAGGTGACCCACTCTCAGATTATATTAATGCAAACTATATAGATGTAAGTATAAACAACCTTTGTAGATTGTAAGATCCCTCTCATAAGAAAACATTTGCTTGGAAGATGGTGTGACTTGGAAAAAAGGCTACCTTTTCATAGCTTGTTTTTATAGCATGTATATTTTTTATTTCTTGTCAACACAGACCATAGTGATGAGACATCAAACTGTTATGTATGTGTACAGCACATAATTGTACTTATTGTAAAGTCTACTGAACAGATTTGGAATTTAGACTTAAAATAATAAATAAATAAATATATTATTATTGGTTGTCAAGTGGCATGTGATTGTGTTTCAGGGTTACAAAGACTCCAAGGCCTACATTGCAACACAAGGTCCCAGTAAAGTTACACTTGCTGATTGGTGGAGAATGATATGGCAGGAAAATGTATCAACAGTTGTCATGGTGACAAACTTAGTAGAAGGTGGCAGGGTAAGAGGATATTTTTTTATTCACATTTTGAAAAAATTGAAACAAGTGTTTAGAAAGGTTTCAAAAGTCAACCAGGAATAGTATGATAAAATTAAAAAAAAAAAAAGATTTTAAAGTTATGTTTAATGATTCTGTGGTTAAATTTAGAAAGGATTTACTATGGTAATGTGTAATGGTTCAGTGTTATATCAATTTCAGGCCAAATGTGAACAGTACTGGCCTAGGAATGACAAGACAACTTACGGAGAAATTACAGTAGAAGTTAAACAAGTAGAAATTATAGCAGATTATACAATAAGAACATTTGAATTAAATAAGGTAAGACACACAGTTAAAGATCCACAATAATACAAAAGTCGACACCTTTATCGTAAAATTTTGACATCAGATAGTTTTATATTGCCTTTTTAGGTGTACTTATGCTCTTAAATAAGATAAAATTAGATATACTTCAGCTCTTTAATAAGATGGAAGCTGTGATGACTTACCCATTTCTTGTTCACAGGGTAATGAAAGCAAAGTAGTGAAGCAATTTCACTTCACAACATGGCCGGACCATGGTGTACCAATCTTCGCTACATCATTGTTAGCATTCCATAGAAAAGTGAAAGCTTACCACACACCCCAGTTAGGCCCTATGGTGCTACACTGCAGGTAAGTCAAAGTACACCGCACACCACACTATGGTGCTACACTGCAGGTAAGTTAAAGTGCACCGCACACCACACTATGGTGCTACACTGCAGGTAAGTTAAAGTGCACCGCACACCACACTATGGTGCTACACTGCAGGTAAGTTAAAGTACACTGCACACCACACTATGGTGCTACACTGCAGATAGTCACCAAGTTCACCACCCCACACTGTCTTGTAGTACTTCTTTTCAGAAGATACATGTTGAACAGTAGATAAATAGAGCATTATTTGGAAAATTATTCATAACTCTTAATATTCGGATTTTATTGATGATTTAGTTACTGTGACATTGTAAGTCTTCACAAAGGTATTTTGATTTTTTGGGTATGAAGTGTTAGAAAGATATTTTAAATGTTCTTCATCACATTAAAATTCAATTTTAGATATTAATCTGATGTTTGTTTCCAGTTAGTTATCTTATATTTTTCCATCTTCCAGTGCTGGTGTAGGCAGGTCTGGGACATTCATAGCTCTAGATTATCTCCTAGACCAAGCCAAGGTGGAGGGAGTGGTGGACATATTTAACACGGTGCATCTCATGAGGAAACAGAGAGTTAAAATGATACAGACTTTAGTAAGTTTGCTCTGTCTATCTCTAAAATAATTTTCATTTAAATCTTAGTACTTGATAGGATATCACTGCTGGCAAGCAGAGAAGATGGAAATTTGATAATTTGCAGTATTCAAGCTTCTGATGGTGCCTTTGTACAGATACTTCATTTCAGAATAATTATCTGCAGGACCACTTTTATATACGTGGTCCATAATTTTTAAGGAGCAATATTTCATTATTCATTATGATATTTTTATATAGTACAGTAAAATAAATTCCTGTGTAGTGATCTCCTATAGGTCCTACTAGGTCAAACCCTCAGTATGTACTATGATTTGCTGATATATTAATACATTTTCTTTGATATTACAGGAGCAGTACATCTTCCTTCATGATGCTCTCTTAGAGGCTTTGCTCAGTGGGAACACAGGTATGTTCTGCACTGACATGAGGCACAGGTATAACAACCTCCTCAAGGTCAACCCCGCCACAGGCGAGACAGAGATGGATGCTCAGTTTGACCTCCTAAACAAGCTGACATCGTCCATACCCAGAGAGCCAGAGAAGACGTCAGGCCGCGATGCCAAAAATGCAAACAAGAATCGAGTCCCAGACATGGTTCCTGCCAACCATGCCCGCCCCCACCTGATGACTCCCCTGGAGAACAAGGAGGGCACAGACTACATCAATGCAGCATTTATTGACGTAAGTTAACGTGTCAGCATTTTTGATGAAAATAACTATTTATGTGTCATGCTTTTAATAAAAAAAAACAGCAGTTTTGACAGGTCTTAACTTTTGGAAGTAATCCATCAGTTAAAGGAGAATAGTTTTTGAAAAGAATGGTCAAAAATTAATTTTGATTTTTTTGTCGATATTTTAGGGTTTCCGTAAAAGAGATGCCTTAATCATCACGCAGATGCCACTCCAGCACACTGCTGTAGACTTTTGGAGGATGATTCATGATCACATGATATTTTCTATTGTGATGTTGAATGAGATGGACAGCAGTGATGAGAGTTGTGTACCTTACTGGCCAGAGCAGGCAGAACCCCAGGAATATGGTCCATTTAAAGTGGAGATGGTCTCCTCTAATATGGGCATAGGAATGATTACTAGAGACTTTAAACTTACACACAAGCGACAGGTAAGTCTTTTTTCAGTAATTGTTTGGATTTTCATCAATTTATGGAGTGATGATGTGTTTTATGATGCAGTTTATACACTTTGATGGCATTCTGCATACTTTTTTTGCTCTAACTGGCCAATAGGTGTAGCTAAAATATAAATGATATGATATTTATAGGAAGGAAATTTATTCCAACTAATGAAATTAAGGTTGATGATTAAACACAGAGTGAATGTTAAGATTGTAACATGATAGAAAATACATTTGTAAAAGCACTAAGTGGTCTTCTGCATCACTGTTTCACTACCTATACTAAGGCATGTAATTGCATTGTTACCCAAAGTCAAAACAAATCTGATTTAAAACATTTCAGTCTGCAGACAAGTTCCGCATCATCCGCCAGTTCCAATACACATGTTGGAGCAAAACAGACTCAGTTCCCCAGTCCATGCCATCTTTGTTGGCGCTGTTGTCTGCAGTGGAGAAATGGCAGCAGCAGACACGGGACAGAACCATTGTAGTACACTGCATGTGAGTATAGGGGATCCCCTTTAAATAATCACTTTAGCTGTGGAATATACAGGAATTATTCATTACTAGTTCTTTCAACTGTTGCATCAAACTATGGGTTTTGAAAACAAAGAGTTTAGTTTTAGTAATGCAAAAAGATAATTCAGGAATGATTTACAGCAAGAAAATTTTAACAACCTGAAAGCGGTTGGTCTTAATCTATATGAACCATTATATATTTTTGTTCTTATATTATGTACTCTTTCTGTAGGGATGGTGCCAGTCAGAGTGGGGTTTTCTGTGCAATGTACTACATCATGGACAAAATCAAAACTCAGCAGGAGCTGGATGTCTACCACACTGTCAACCATTTGAGAATTAACAGGAAACAATTGATAAAAAATAAGGTAAGAGGGTATCAGAGTTTCATCCTTGTTTATAAATGCAAAGAATTGTTCATTCAAATGAGTTGTATGAAATGGTTCAGGCAGTTCATTGTTTTAGAATATTAGCTGCAAAGTAAATCTTTTGTCAGTGCTTTGTAAACTAGCTTCAGCCACATTATATATATATATATATATATATATATATATAATTATTTCCCAGCTTGTTGATATATCTAAAATTGTGAATGTTTCTTTAACATTATAAGCTATGAATCAATACTGAAAATAGAAATATTTATAAACCTGAAATAATACTTATGTTATTATTATCATTTTAGGAGCAGTATAGGTTCTGCTATGACTTTGCTTTAGCATATTTGGACTCTTTTGAGCCATATGCAAACTTCAAATGAAGTGTGTGCAGAACATCACCAATGGTACACCTGCAAGTGGAAGTGAAAGGGCAAACCTTGGGAGTCTGGAAGGATTCGTTTAAATTGACGCCTAGTTAACTCTAAGACTAACACCAACACCCGGGTTCTTCCCGTCTCATTCCAAAGTCACTGGTCACACTGAAGTTTTCTGCTTTTTATGTCAGATGTGACTGGAATAAGTCTTGAAGTATTAGAGCCAGTGCATGCTGCAGTTTTAATGTTATTTCTGTATCAGAAATGTGTTGAAGAGAGATGATAGTAGAATAAGCCATGAAGGCATTTCTAACAGCTTCCCAGTGTGTTGGGAGTGGAGACAGTATTCAAGTGGGTGAAATCTCTTTACAGTTGAGTTGCAAGTGGAATACAATGTTTTAATGTAAAAAAATTTTGTCAGTGTTTGACAGAGGTATTTTTTATTGTACACATTGTTACTACAAGAGCAACNGATATTTTCTATTGTGATGTTGAATGAGATGGACAGCAGTGATGAGAGTTGTGTACCTTACTGGCCAGAGCAGGCAGAACCCCAGGAATATGGTCCATTTAAAGTGGAGATGGTCTCCTCGAATATGGGCATAGGAATGATTACTAGAGACTTTAAACTTACACACAAGCGACAGGTAAGTCTTTTTTCAGTAATTGTTTGGATTTTCATCAATTTATGGAGTGATGATGTGTTTTATGATGCAGTTTATACACTTTGATGGCATTCTGCATACTTTTTTTGCTCTAACTGGCCAATAGGTGTAGCTAAAATATAAATGATATGATATTTATAGGAAGGAAATTTATTCCAACTAATGAAATTAAGGTTGATGATTAAACACAGAGTGAATGTTAAGATTGTAACATGATAGAAAATACATTTGTAAAAGCACTAAGTGGTCTTCTGCATCACTGTTTCACTACCTATACTAAGGCATGTAATTGCATTGTCACCCAAAGTCAAAGCAAATCTGATTTAAAACATTTCAGTCTGCAGACAAGTTCCGCATCATCCGCCAGTTCCAATACACATGTTGGAGCAAAACAGACTCAGTTCCCCAGTCCATGCCATCTTTGTTGGCGCTGTTGTCTGCAGTGGAGAAATGGCAGCAGCAGACACGGGACAGAACCATTGTAGTACACTGCATGTGAGTATAGGGGATCCCCTTTAAATAATCACTTTAGCTGTGGAATGTACAGGAATTATTCATTACTTGTTCTTTCAACTGTTGCATCAAACTATGGGTTTTGAAAACTAAGAGTTTAGTTTTAGTAATGCAAAAAGATAATTTAGGAATGATTTACAGCAAGACAATTTTAACAACCTGAAAGCGGTTGGTCTTAATCTATATAAACCAATATTTATTTTTGTTCTTATATTATGTACTCTTTCTGTAGGGATGGTGCCAGTCAGAGTGGGGTTTTCTGTGCAATGTACTACATCATGGACAAAATCAAAACTCAGCAGGAGCTGGATGTCTACCACACTGTCAACCATTTGAGAATTAACAGGAAACAATTGATAAAAAATAAGGTAAGAGGGTATCAGAGTTTCATCCTTGTTTATAAATGCAAAGAATTGTTCATTCAAATGAGTTGTATGAAATGGTTCAGGCAGTTCATTGTTTTAGAATATTAGCTGCAAAGTAAATCTTTTGTCAGTGCTTTGTAAACTAGCTTCAGCCACATTATATATATATATATATATATATATATATATATTAATTTCCCAGCTTGTTGATATATCTAAAATTGTGAATGTTTCTTTAACATTATAAGCTATGAATCAATACTGAAAATAGAAATATTTATAAACCTGAAATAATACTTATGTTATTATTATCATTTTAGGAGCAGTATAGGTTCTGCTATGACTTTGCTTTAGCATATTTGGACTCTTTTGAGCCATATGCAAACTTCAAATGAAGTGTGTGCAGAACATCACCAATGGTACACCTGCAAGTGGAAGTGAAAGGGCAAACCTTGGGAGTCTGGAAGGATTCGTTTAAATTGACGCCTAGTTAACTCTAAAGACTAACACCAACACCAGGGTTCTTCCCGTCTCATTCCAAAGTCACTGGTCACACTGAAGTTTTCTGCTTTTTATGTCAGATGTGACTGGAATAAGTCTTGAAGTATTAGAGCCAGTGCATGCTGCAGTTTTAATGTTATTTCTGTATCAGAAATGTGTTGAAGAGAGATGATAGTAGAATAAGCCATGAAGGCATTTCTAACAGCTTCCCAGTGTGTTGGGAGTGGAGACAGTATTCAAGTGGGTGAAATCTCTTTACAGTTGAGTTGCAAGTGGAATACAATGTTTTAATGTAAAAAAATTTTGTCAGTGTTTGACAGAGGTATTTTTTATTGTACACATTGTTACTACAAGAGCAACGGTAACTGAATGTTTGTTATACAGATGAGTTAGAAGACTGCTGCCTGACAGACAGTCAACATGATTCCAACACAGCTTCACAATTTTCTGGAAAGGGTTCACAATGTGCCATTGATTTTTATACTTGCTCCTGTGACATTCTTTTATCAGACTTACAAATTAGGTATTACACATATTGTACCAATGTTTACTTGTATGCGATTTAATCTTATTTATCTCCTCAATTCCCTTTAAATCAAAATTTTCAAATGTTTAACTGATGTAAATATACAAGTGCTATTATAAGATGTAGATTGTAAACATCAAAACAGCAATGCGTGCTTCAATTTTATCTTCTACTTTGCATGACATTTAACATATTTATATGTTATCATATCTTTTAATCATGCAAGTCTTCCCATTTTACGAATTACAAGTATTATCATTTATACATCTTGCTGCTTTTATTTCAAAACATTACAGCTTTTTTGTGTTCTTATTTTTTTGCCTTCTGTCTGGTGCTGAGTGTTATAATGCAGCGTCACAACAATAGGTGGAGCTGTCAGCTGTAGTGAACAGAAAAATACTTCAGTTGTTAATCTTGTATTTTTTAGTGTTTCACTGTACTGTTTAATGTTATTATTAATAAAGCAACACTTTAAAAATACATGCATATATTCAAGATTGTAAGCATTTACATATGCCATTCTTGATTAGATCAGTAAACTGTTACATTAATTGGAATATTGCATGTATAAGTGACATTGACACTGAAGAACAGATGAGATTTATAAATGAGATAGAATGCTATTAAAATGTTCACTAAATGGTAGTATTCAGAACTAAATCACAATTACTTCACTTTAATAACTGTATGGTTGAAAAAGAGTACTTCAAACAAGCTTTAAACAAAATAGTTTCAACTGGGGGAAAAGCTGGCTTAACCATATGGTTCACTAAAATTAAAATATTATAAAAGTTTTTAAAAAATCCATGACATGTACAACATACAACAAATATATAAAAGTGAATAATTCAGTGTAAAATTATTTGAAATATAAAATGCTCATAATGGGAGGAAAAGTACAATTTTAGAATTCTGTGAACTGAAATAACATAAAAAAACTACTTCCTCTTTAAATTCTTGTCCAATTCAAATATGTCAAAAGACTGGTCTTGGGTGATAAGATCTACCTGAGATTCTAGTGTAGTCAATGTCATTTGTTTTTTCCTCTCACCAGCATTTTCTTCTGAAATCACTTTTGTTTTAGCATTCAAGAAATCAAACTCTATGTTATCTTCTATATTTTGCCTCTTTACGCTGTAATGTTTTCTTTGTGGTGGAGGTTTCGCTTTGGATTTAGGTGGAGGTTTTTTGGGAGAACAGTCATCTTCTTCATCATCTTTGAAGAAGTCGTCTAGAACAGACATGGATGGAAGGGGACGTTGCAGTTTCTCTGAAGGACACCCTTTCTTAAAATGCCCAGAAGCATTAGAAGTGGTCTGAACGTTTTCTGGGGATTGGACTTTGTTTGTCTTTGGTGAAACTTTGCTGGGCTCTGCTTCTACCATATCTTCATGACCCATAAATTCCTCAAATGCTTCAGTGAATGTTTTCCTTTTTGTCTGGTCCTCTGCTGCTGCACAGGTTGTGTTGTCTCCTATGCCAATATTTTCACTTTCATCATATGTACACCCCTTCTTAACTTTTGATTTTCCTCTCGACTGGGGGTACCTTGGTTTAATGGTTTGTTTCTTCCCTTTCCTCTCTAGCATTGAAAAAAAAAAAATTAAATATCAACTTTTGAAACAAGACTCACACCAGGAATTACATATGTTTAGGTTAATAGATGTTCTAAAGAAAAACGTGTATGCAGGCTCACTACTGTGGCATATCTACCTTTCTTTGGGATGGTTGTTCTTACTGTAGCTGATTCTCCTACAGATTCTGTACTATCTTTTGTGGCAGTAACTTTAAACAAGGAGGATGACATGAGCTCTGGGTGCTTAGAGGTGTAGAAATCTTTCAACATGGTTTGTCTTTCAGTGTGGCTGCTGGAGAGCACAGTTTTTGCAAAAGCCACAGCAGAACTTCCATGAAAAAACTTGCACATATTGGTGAAGTGTTGTCTGAAAATTCAGATATATTTTTAATTAATAATAGAAGGTCTTAATCAGTGATTTCTTTAAAAACCAAATGCAATTGTTATCTAAAAGAAGTTTTTAGGATTTCACTTCTGTTTATGAACCACAGGATGATAATTCTACATATTTTTGTACATAGGACCATGCAGAAGAGACTCCAGACAGTCCAAAACTTCTTTTACCAGATAAAAACAATACTGCATACTTCAACTGTTTCCTATTCCAATATTCAAATGTTTATATTATACAAGTAAATGCTCACAGTTTCATAGATTTTGGTGTCTGTCCGATCAACACCTGCAGATTGCCAATAACTTCTTTTCTGGGGCCATCCTGCTTTTTATCTTTTCGCCTTTTCTTTGGCACATCAACATGGGCCTTCTCCTCCTCAGAGTTCTGCAAGACAATGAGGTAAAGAAATAAGACCAGTGATGTAGAAAATAGAAATTCCATTCAAATGTGATTCCTGTTCTTACATTTCTAATAGGGGTGGGCAAATAAAGGCTTTTGGGAAATTTAATTTCAGACAAGTGGATTCTATGGCCATTTTGGCTGCTGAATACAAATCTAATGAGTATTTTCATTTTAAATTACATCTGATATTGGTATCAGGTGATTTTTCAAAATGGCAACCAAACGCTCCCTCAAATCACATATTTCTCATGTAAATCTTTAAATATCAGTTCAAACATGGCTTTTTATATGTCTAACCATATGATTTCATGATCAATGAGCATAAATAGATACATCATTTTGGTTGGGTCACTTCATTTTGGGATAAAAAGAGGATTTTTTGTCATTTTGAGGTAAAAATCACCCCAAAATCACCATTTCTGTGTACATAAATACAAATGTTTATATGCAACTGTGGCTTTTAAATTAGGAAAAACAATAATACAACAAATATGGCCAGTGTTGTTCAAGGATCACATGAAACTGAAAAGTTTTGACATATAGAATAGCATAATGTTAGTTACATATGGGAATATTTACAGTAGAACACTCAGTAGCAGAGCATTAAGGATATTGTTACTCTTTATTACCATCCAGATACCGAAAATAAGTTTTTTCCTGCATCTAATTATTCAATAATGTATCTGTCTTTGTGCTGCTTTGAAACAATGAAAAAACTCTTGAAAATATGAAATAACGGCGTTTATATTTTTTCGTTGCAATGTATAAGCATAAGCAACTCAAAGCTTTAATCATCTATTTAACAGCTTTCTTTTTTGAGATTAGTTAGCACTGCATATGGGGCTTAACTTCATCCCTGAACAAGATTTTATCACAAGGAATGGCCAATGGACCACAAAGGCATGAGTTACAATCCCATGCCAACGTTATGGTTTAAATGCTTTTGTTATGGAGTCATGAGTCCGTAATGACCGATCTTCTAAAAACAAAGGTATTATTTTGCTTTATCAACGATCAAATCTGAACTAAGGCTTTAAAAAAATCGCTGGCAGGGTTTTGGGGTACTAAATGGTGTCATAAAATTGGCTTTGAAATAGTGATCACGGTTGTGTTCAGGTAAAACAGACATTTGAGAAACCGATTTTTCAGCATTCGAAACATTTTGATCACATTCGAGGGAGAACCGAAATGGCAAGGTGCTTCAAATCTTGTCAGAATGTTCCATATTGTGCCTCCAATGAGCAGGAATGCAACTCGAATGCATCTTGATTGCAGGCTGGGATTCAGCCAACAATGAAACCACACTTGTATGGCATTTGAAGTGCATTCTAAATATTCTCACTATATTTAGGGTGAACGGCATTAGCATTAACGATATTCCTAATGTGTTCCAACTACATTCGAGCTGCATTTGAGAGCTATACAATAACTGAAATGTGCACGAATCATTCCAGGTGGGTTCGAAGCGCATTCTGAGGTATTCTTGCTGGAATTAAGGTCAATTTGATATTACCCAATGAATGTGGCGCGAATTTTGAAAATTCTTCATTATGGCTCATTCTGCTTGATTACTTCAGATTCCAAATAAGTGTAACAGGGGGCTTTACAGTGCCTTCTGGTCTTAGTGTATCTCTTGTTGATGCTTTCATGGTTGTGGTGAGATACTCTTAAACTACACAACTGAAACTAAGTACTATTCCAAGGTCAAGAGCTTAGAGGTTGATGTCACCTGACAAAGTTTTACCTGTTCTGAAGAAAAGGAAAATTATACAGCATAATATTTGTTGGTACACATCCATGAAGGTATTTTCAGCATTGTTTTTATACCAAACTGTAATTCATGAATTCAGTATGTACATAATGGCCATTATTTATCTTTATCTTAGGCTCGAAGTGTGTATTTTATGTATATGTTTGTTTTAAATAACATATTTTTACAGATGTCACCCTAGCAATATTGCCAATGTCTTGAATATGCTCATATTTGAACTCAGCAACCCTCAAAACATATAGAAAGACATATTACACATCATTTTTATGTACTTTACTGTGAAAATATGGCCAAAAAGCCATTTCCCGCCTTTTTGCACAAACAAATAGCAGATACCAATATAAATCTTTAGCTTTGGTAAAAAATATTGTCAGATTTGTGTTCAGCAGCAAAAATGGCCATAGAATCCACCTGTTTTAAAAAAATTTTGTCATTTGCCCACCCCTATTTCTAAAACATGTCCAGCTGACCAAACCTGTATGTGACCCTTGTATATTAAATCTGATAAAAACAATCAACTGTTTGTCTTAATTGCTTAGTAAGGCAGTCTTCGGCTGAATAGTCCACTCCCTTCAATACCTGCAGAGGTTCACAGTTGATGGCTGGCTCCTGTGAATTCTGGTGTAATTCAAATACATCTTTCATGGCACACCTGGACATGTGATCCTCTGCCTTGCTGGTCCCAACCACCTTCTTGTTCTGGTGCGTGTGAACCACTCCACAGTGTTCTTAATAGGAAAGTGGTCAGGATTAGATTAAATACACAAACAAAGGCAAAATGTGTGTATTTCAATATTTGTAAAAGATAACATCAGATGTATAAAATATGTAGCTTGCTAAGTTCTACATGGTGTATGCAATATTACTGTTCTTTCAAAAACACTTTTATATGTATGACAAATTATTTTACAACTTTGGTATGTAAGTGTCTCACCTAACACATCTGATATTGAATTCAAGCTGGATTCTGCATCACTAAATCCATTTCTTTTGTTCTTTACAACAGCTCTCTTCACTTTCTTTTTAACAGCTTTGGCCTTTTGACCTTCACCTTCAGAGTCTGAAGAGTTGGTGATATCTATGCATTTTTTGGAGTCCCTTGATTTGGAAGAGGAAATTTTAGTCCCAGGAGTCCTTTTCACAGGTTTTACTACAGATGTGGACGGCTGGGTGTCAAAAGCACCATCTCCACTCTCATGGTCACCACTCAGAATTCTACTGCCACATGGAGTTCTCTCACAATTGCTGTCTACCACTTGACTGCAAACAAAGTCCAAACCATTTGAATCTGGTACATCACTGTCTGGTTCAAGATCTGAAATTTACACAAAAAACACTAAATTATCACCGTTCTCCAAATGATATAAAACAAACATGCTAGAAATTGGTTTACCTTTAGGTTTTGTACTCAACTCATAATTTCATAAATGGACATAAATTAGCTTGAACATGCTTACTATGACATCTGAGCTAAACCTTCACCTTAAAAACTCACCAGACATTTCTCCAACAATTTCTTGTAAATCAATGGTGTCAGCAGATGCCTCTTCTTCAACTGAGTCATCTAGGCAAGATGGAGTAGTGTCTGCCATTTTAACTTCCTCTGATTTACAACTTCCCTGACCAGCCAAATATTTGTAACACTGAAATCCTGCAAGTCCTTTCTCTAATCTGGAGTTCCTCTGTAAATCAAAGAAAGCAATGATGAGTTCCACAAGCATGCATTTTAAGTGAGAAAAATTTCTTTTGAAAATAAAACAATGATACAGGTTTTGCCAAAGGCTCATTAAACTACATAAACCACATGCTATTCCAAGCATTACTGCAGCTTTGAAACAATTTTACATATTTACCACTGTACCCTCCCCCCCAAGTCTTTCATAAGATTTGGGGTCTTAGATCTTCTTACTTTTCATTCAAAGCGGTTGCACTTATAACTCAAAGGCACGATTTTAAAAAGTTACAAAATTACACTTTAGGCCCAAAATTACATTTTTACTTGAACTGAAAATAAAAGCATCCATGGCTAAGTCTCCTGGTCAGCAGGATGGAAGCCATTAAATGTAATTTGGTAAACGCTGTATGTGGTGTAGTATTATATATATGTAACCTGTAATATGTCAGCTGTTAGACATCCGTCTCCTGTTCTCAGCTGGAACATATTGCCAACTCCAAACAGTTCCCCCTTCCTTGTCCCGTCTCCCTGGACTGCCGTGAAATACCTCCTGGCATTCTCCTCTGATATCGTCACAGAGTCTAATTGCTGAAACCACATCACTTGAAAGTCTAACAATAGGGCATCTTACATTCTAAAGTAAAATTTATAACCATCTGCTACAGCTTTTGGGAAAATGAAACAAACAAGCAAAGCCAAAATATTATTCAAAGATTTATCAATATAATCTGAGTATATAGCTGTAAACCAGTTATTATGTGAGTGAGCTAGAACAACAAATTCATATACATGCACAGTGCTATATTACATTACACATCTCGTAGTCATGTCCCTACCTGTTTGTATATTTGTCTAAGATAGATATTCTCCTCAATGGTTCCCTGTGATATTAACCTGTAAACCTTCACATCTCTCCTCTGACCTATCCTATAGGCCCTGGAAAAATAAAACAAATTATGTTCTTGAGGTCTGAAACAATGGTAATTTATAATAATAAGTCCCCTATGAACTGAAAATTTAAATGACATTTTGACTGTCTAAATACTTCTTTTTTTCTGATATTGAGCCTATTGCAGTTAAAGATAAAATACAATTACAGATGAGCCCTCGCCTAATTTTTATGTTTGAGGTAGCTAACACAGCTATAATTGCACCATTCTCACCTGTCCTGTGCCTGAAGGTCATAGGTTGGATTCCAGTTTGGGTCATATATCACCACTACATTAGCACCTGTCAGGTTTAGACCTAGTCCACCTGCCCTAAAACAAATAAAAGCATTATGACTCAATATTGGTTACTTCTTTGGAATTACCAAATAAAAAAGACATTATGATGATAAAAATGACCCCATAATTAAAGCTTGTTTATAGATAATAAGCTAACTTTAAATTCACATATTAAATTTACTGTTTTCAAAATAATATTCTCTTTCTTCAATTATTAACTTAATATAATTTTGTACTAAGGAAGGTATGAGAGTTTTGCTGGATGTTGACAGATAAGACGTGGCTTAAGGTGAGTGTTAACATTAATAATAGTTTCATGTAGGAAGCACTGACAGGCATGTGTAGTGAGATTTTTAAAAATAAATTACTGTCATTATTATTATATAATTATTGTTATTAATATTTCTTACTTTGTTGAAATCAGGCAGAGGAATATATTGGGGTCCTTGTTGAATTGCTGTGTGAACTCAAACCTCTGTTTGTTAGCTACCATGCCATCAATCCTTCTGTAGTCGTACCCTTTACTCATCACAAAATGCTCAACGATGGTCAAGAGTCTGGTCGAGTAGGAAAACAGGAGGACCTTGGATTTATTCTTGGCACATACAGATAAAATCCCAACGAGCACCTTCATCTTGCCGCAGTACTTTGGGTTGGACAGGGTGTCAAATCTGGCCCACTTGTCCTGCTGGAGAAACTGGGGGTAGTTCTCAAATACGATGTTGCATATTGTTTCAGCGTATGACACCTGCCGGCTGCTGGTGCTGCCATCTGGGACAAGTAGTGCGACATGATTGGCAACCTTCAGCAGGAGATGCATGTAGGTCAAAGTCAGGGATCGAATATCCTGGTCACCAATTTTCTAAAAAAAAATTATTTAAATTTAAAACTATATAAATTAAACAGAATTTTAGTACAAGAGGAAAATAAAACAAGGCAGCAAAGCTGTCAAATGTACAGACAAAAAGCAGACAATAACAATGCACAAAACAGGCTACTGTCAATTCTGATGCAAAAGTACATTATGCTTAACTGCAAATTCAACATCAAATTTTAATTATGCTCAACAGGTAATACCAATGTAAGTGAAATGTGAAACAAGCGTAAGGCTTCGAGCCCATGGGAGTTTAAGTTCACACTTTGAATATGCCAGAATGAGAAAAATGAAAATTTCACATAAAACTGCTTAAATTCAATAATAAATGATAACCCATTTGAGCTGGCTTTCTTATTTGAACTGCATGCCAATCCTACCAATCATACTTGTAAGTTGAAAATACTAATAAGTAACAGTTTTCTTTTCATAATGTTTGTAGTAGCAGTGCAAAAAGATTTTTGTCAATTTTGATGTAACATTACATAATAAATTACAGAATAATTATCACCAATTTTTGATTATTGACTATAAATAGCATGGACAAGTAGAAAATTTGATTACCATTTGGCTTCATGTCCATGGGAGCTTCGAGTCCCACAATGAATATGCCAACATGATAAAAATGAATATTTCACTAAAATGTATAACTTCCAGAAAAAGAAGCCAATTAGACTGCTTTTCCAGCTCAGGCTGCATTTTAGTCCTTTGTTTCTTTTTTGAAAGTTTGACAATCATAAGTAACATGGTTTTCCCATAATGGTCATCATGGCAGCAGCACCCAAAATTGTGTTTTCTTCTATTTTAATGCAATATTACATAATGCTTAACAGCATAATGACCATCAGTTTTTAATAATAAAAGATCC